TCGGCTATTTCTTGTATTATAATCATGTAAGTCAGTGACAAGATCGAAGTTGGATCGAATATAATGTATGCACGTAATACAATACAGTTGTTTTGATCTTTGGTCGACTTCAAGAAAACCAGCTTTAGAAAGTTCGCTGTAGCCAACACGGGTTCTTTGACCAGAACAGTTGATGAACCTCACCATTTTGTTCTGTATAATTTTCAACTTCTTTTGATTTGACTTGTTTATGTTACTATACCATGCAGGGTTAGCATAGTCAAATAAACATTGAATAAGAACGAAACAGAGTATACGTCTTGCTTTAAGTTTTAAATCCATACAACTTTGATATCTGTACAAAAATTTCAGACGAGAATTATGAGCGGTCGAGTGATGAAAACCAGCGTCAGCTCACTCGCTTTCCCCAGCGCTGTTCCAGATGTCCGTTGACCAATGCAAAATCCCTGCATGCTGGAAATCACCCGTCGTTTTTTGAGTTATTCATTAGTGATGATTAGATGGCGCTGTTTCTTTTCCTCTGGCTCGAATATTGATTCAGTGGGTATCACAGCTTCCGTTTATTCGATGGTGCGGGCAATAATTTAGGTGTCGACCATGAACAGCTAGTGTGCGAGTATTTTATTAATAATAGAGTGCAGTGCGGAGAGAGAGAGAGAGAGAGAGAGAGAGAGAGAGAGAGAGAGAGAGAGAGAAAACAAATAACGACAATATACATTTTGGCGTTTAGACCTTTATATAATTCTATATGTGGCTTTATGAAAGCATCGATTCCTTGTACCGTTTCTCGACTCTTAATCCTTGTTTGAATTTAGTTGCACCGTTATCGACTCTTGATCGTTGTCTGAATTAAGTTTCCTTTCTTTCTTCTCTTCTCTTTCCTTTCTTTCCTTTCTTTTCTTTTCTTTCCTTTTTTTTCCTTTTCTTTTTTTTCTTTTCTTTCCCTTTCCCTCTCATTTTCCCCCTCCCTCTGTTCTCATTTTTCCCGACAGCAGCGCAATTTTACCGACAATATCCTGACAGGTGGGGGTGTCGACCGCACCCCCCCCCCTTTTTTTTTTAGCGACGCCCCTGTCCACACTCTGTGTTATGTAGGGTACTCGTATGCATGTTCCCTTCTTTTGAAAGCACCCCCCCCCCCCGATCTCCTGTGTGTAAAGTCAATACGGGTCGGATTTGTGGAAGCACCCCCCCCCCCCCCCCCCCCATTTCCGGTTAGTATAAATCAATACGGGCCGGACTTTGTTGCGTGAAAAGTACCCCTTTACCCGAGATTTTGGGAACACAAATGCGGTCCCTCTGACCCCTGAGTGGGGGGGGGGGGGGGTTCGAGGTTCCTCAACTCTTTTGTTCCGTACTCTATCCGTCTGTTGAATGAAATGTAAAATGTGAAATGTATAAATCGCATTATATTCTCTTCTATTTGCTCGTAGGAAATGATCAACAAACTATTTGTTTTTATTTTAGGACAATTATATTCAATTTCTTATAATAGTCATCTTTTCGCAAATGAAATGAAATTTTTTTTTTGTATTTATACTTACATGTCATAGTATATTGCATTTTTTATTAATAATTATTTAATACTGCCTTCAACAGTTATTCATGTTACATACATACTGCATACTATCTAGGTTTCATTTTTAGGGACATTATTGTTGTGGATTTATCAAAATAGGGTACTGCATTCCCCCAGAAGATATAAACATTATTTGTAACTTACTATAGGATATAAATACATGGTTATTTTTCCACCATAAAGAAAAAAATTATGATCAATTCTTTTGATTGTGGTTTATTGTTTGCCTCCCCCCCCCCCCCCCCCAATATTTGAAAGACAATACTAATTTGGAACTTCCCTAAAAAAAAGGGGGGGGGCTTGAAAATGTTTTTAAGTGGGAAAATAACGACTATTAGTTGTCGACTCGACTTAGGAGCAATAGAGCCAGTAAGTAATAGTCTGATTTTTTAGACCATTGTACCGAATGGTCGTACGTTACGGTTTATGCTGCGCAAAGATTCAATCAGTTTAATTTTGGCCATTACAAGAAGTGGGTTATTGATGTAGACAAATGCTCATGTACCCTTTACAGCACACTCTATGTATGTTACCAAAGATGAAAAGAAGCCAGTCAGTCACTCAATATTGTCTGACAGTGAAGTCTAGCAAATAAACGGGTTTCCTTGCATAATTTGAATATTAGGACACTGCTGACGTTTAAATTTCAGATGGGACATACATGACATATTCATAATTCCTGCAAAGTTCTACTTAATTTGATGTTGGCTGGAAAAGGGACATATAGTATCTTTAATCGTGGGCATGTTCGATTGTCACGAAGAGATTAATCTAACATATCTTTCCACTTTACATATGAACTATAACACAATTTATATCTATATGGCTTCTCTATGCATGCAAACATATTGGGATATTATTTACATAATAATGGCACGTCATATGAACCCATGTCATTTTGTAGTATTAAATATACCGCCCCCCCCCCCCCCCCTAAACAAAAAAAAAAAATTGTTTTTGTCCAGTCACCTAGCATATATCTTTCTATCTCTCTCCAATCCCCTACGCATTTTGGTTTAGAAACTTTCAAGCATTGATTCTCTCTCTCTCTCTGATTCTCTAATCTCTATGCATCTGTCTCCCTATTCTCATCTGCCCCTCTCTCCATCTCGATACAAAGCCCCTTTTCAACGTTCCCCAAATCACCTCTTTATGCAACAAAAGAGACATGAGTAACACAAAAAGCTTATGGCATGATTGTCAATACTTACTGGACATTGTGTCTTGATTATTTTTAACAACACATACACACAAAGAATAGAAAACGATACTCAAAACATGATCAGCTAATTTTGTACGAGCTCTAAACGAAAGTAAATTTTGGCAATGAAGGATTTAATTACAGATCCTGGTAATGACTGTTTAATTAGTTTTGATCTTCCGTCTTTCCTGATGAATATTAATTCACTTCAGTTGTGAAACTCTGACGTCTTATCATGTGGGAAAAGGGTAATTTGAGTACATGAAATTTCATTCATTTCTTGATTCCCCGAGAATGTAAGTCATGAGCTTGGCTTCATCAATTCATTCATGACGGCCACATCTAAGGTTTTACATTGTAAAGATGATACTCCAATGAAATAGGAGCGTGAGGGTGATAAATACTTGAAATACATGACTATAGGTACAATGCACCTATCTACACTCCCGAGATCAAGTTCAAAATGAGCTTTTACCCAGTTTCACGACCTACAAAAGTAAATTGTCTCCAATTTAAACAGGTCCGTGAATATAAAGCTGGAACATAATACAGGATCTGTAACTTTCTAAGTACACATATAGTTAGACCGAAAGCTTCCGTCTCTGATATCGACGGTTGTACCGTCGAGATTGCATCTGGCTCTTCTGACGGAATGTCAACAAGTGTCAGTTTAATTAAAGAAATGACCCATACCAGACGGTTATTTCTGTCTAACATATAGTAGTCTAAGAGAGTTGAGTTACATAGACATACATGATAGGCGAAATACAACGTTAGCAACAACTAAAATACCTAAACTTGAAATACCGAACAAACAATATATATGCAAATAATTTAGGTGCAAAAATTATATTAAAGAGAAGGTTGAGTTCTGGGAAGAGGTGAAAAATAATTTGTGAGCATTATCATTCTTATTATGCAAGTGTGGAAGAACATCATATAAGACATGTTCCCTGAAAAGCATGGCTCTTCAAATGCCTTCATATTCGAAATATGTCATGTAACATCGTAAAACTCGGGGGTAGGATTTTTACGCCACGTGTTCGTGTAGTCCCATATACATCTTTCTGTGTACAGTGTTTGAAACTTACCAAGACTTGGCCAAATTTCTTATCATTTTGATGATTCCAGAACCTTGCAATGCACACAAATTCTTATATGCTAGATGATTACCTTTTCTGGTCGATTCCACACCGATGCTTTCACAATGCAATCGCATGACCAGAACTCAACTTCATCTTTAAGTGCTTATATGTATTGAAGGTCATTACTTCAGGTGGCAAATATGCAGCTCTTTTTTTGCCTATTGTAGGAGTCGGTTTATTCTTTCATAACTCACCGGTACAATTGTCCAGTTTGAAATTCATGAACTGAATGGATTTTACTGTTATCCCAAATAAAGCTCAATTGATTGAGTTCCTTTGGCAAAAATTTATGATTGAGGTATGCTTCAGGAATGCATTGTAATTTCAACAAATCTCCTGTATTAGTTACAAAGGCACCACAATAATAACTATTACAATGTCATAATAAACAAAGCATGATTTCATTATACAGTAGGCTTGCGGGTGCACCATGTGAGAGAGAGAGGGAGGATTGAGGAGTCCTGAAAAAGACTCTCGGTAATCTTTCTTGAGGGTTTGTAGTCCTGAAAAGGACTGTTTGGTATAGTCTTGAAAAAGACTGTTGGTTATCTTTTCTTAGCATATAGTTCTCATAGCGCTTGGAGAGGATGAGTGGCGGGGGTGGCTCGACGTTTCAAACAGGTTGACTATCCGTTTCTCTCACATGGTGCACCTGCAAGCCTACTGTATATCTACATCACCATGCAAGCCGACACTTACAAGCAGCATCTAATGATTTAATGAATTTTACATTTTAAGTAATTGCATTTCTTCCATGAGAAAAATTATAAAATTTCAAAGAATGATTGAAATTGGTCCTTATCGATGGGGTATGGTTTCAAAAACGTTATATAAAAGAGTACGCAAAGAAAATATACAGCAAAATGTCTGATGCCTAAAACGCCACCATAACTGCTAACAAATCACAATACAAAAGACAAACATTGAAGAAAAAAGGGTCAATAAACATGTCTAAAATATGTCACTTAAAACATGGGGTTGTTCTTGCTTATGGCACAAGTCCGGTTTAATCTACGCCAGCTACTATATAAGATACACTTTCATGCAAGGTCTTTTATACATGCAAACATGTGGCTCCTGTTACAAAAAAACACTTTTAATCTTTAATAGAAGATAACGATGCTTCATGCAAACAATTTCCTGCTTTGTCTAAAGCCATAGAACTAAAAAGCAGTGGCCTCGTATATGTAGGTCTCTCTATGTATTGTAATTGTGATCGAGTCATTAATGCACTACGTGGGGTATTAAACTGCATCATTGGTACATCACACATACATGGTCGTACAAAGGAGCAATACATTGGTTATTAATGCACTACGGAGGGTAATGGTATCAAACTGCCTTGATAGATCATATCACACATACACGACCATACAAAGGAAAAATAATCATGCCCTATTCTGAATCTACAAATTTAGGTACATCTGTGCATATATTGTACATGTACATGTACATCAAAGTCTATCATGTATTTTGGAGTGCAGACATGTATGAAAATGACTGAATTGAATAAACTACATGAAGTCTCTCTAACCAATACAATTAATTTCACTGTCATATCATCAATAATTTCTTCTAAAAAAGCATGCAACACAATATAAAACCCTTGCAGATTGTATAATTTCCTTACACATATTACACATAATAAAAGAGATAAATGTACAAGAACAGTAGCTGTCAAGTGTATTCTGCATATATGTATTTTATTTTTTTTAAAGTATGTAATCCAATATGGACTATGAGGCCTAATCTGTCCCATTAATTCTTGCCATCAGCATTGCTATCGGCCAGCAATGGTTTTGGAACTGGAGGGTGCTAGGTTAAATTCCTTGTTAATTAATTTCTTGTTCTTTCCATTTTCTTACACATGAATCAAGAAAAATTTGTATTTTCGTAACTGACTCTCAAATTATTTTTCATTACATTTTAGTTTATAAAATCATTTCCATTTCTTTGTTGAAAACTGTTCAATTCTGATTCATTTGAGTTGATTTACATTTCAAGTTTATCTGTCATAGGCAAATAACGCAACACCCTGTTACTTGATATTCTAACCTTCTTCCATAACAATAACAATGGATACATGTACCAAGTCATTGAGCAGTTTAAAAAAGTGGTTTGTTTCAATCCAAGATGATTGTCACATGTAGTTTAGACCCTGATACATAGTTTATAAAGTACAATCAAAGTGAAAAGAAAAGACAAGACTAAATCTAGGTAAGAACACTCTCGCAGATGAACATGTGATCGTCTGTCTTGTCTTCTTATCGCAGCTGCAGCAGCTCCACTTCAAAGATCAGCGTTGAATTGGGTGGGATCGTAAAAATAGCAGTCAAGGAAAATCAAACTTCATTCAAAATTAGCACAAGATGAAATTAGAAGTCTACTTTAGTATCACTTTGAATTAAATAAAAGCATAAAAATGAAAGAAACAATTAAATGACAGTTTTAGGAAAATTTGATTAAAAATGAGAAAGTTATAAAGATTTAAAGTTGCAATTAATCAAAAGGAAAATTGGCAACACTGTAATTAACCTTGCAAGCAAGCAATCACAGATTCATTTTATCTCACCGAGATGAAATACCCTTTAACTCTTTCTTAAATCGGTATTCTGCGAATCATGTAAACAAGATTTGATCTAACTGATGCCTCAGTCACACCTTTGCATGTTTGGCTTGCGTATTGCTGCAAATCTATGGCAAGCCGTTTCAACATTTATTCCTATTTATTGATATCAAGAAATCAAATTCTTGATATCAAGAATTACCATTGCTTTACAACATATTTAGAAATGGATTCTTGATATCAAGAATCCATTTCTAAATATCGAGAGGAATAAATGTTTAAACGGCTTGCCATACGGAAGCCAAATACGCAAAGGTGTGACTGAGGCATAAGAAATGCCCATCTGTGATGTGATAACCGATAAGAAATGTTGTTCAGATTTCACTCTCTAAAGGTTGAGCCAATAGAATCACATTCTACCTGTGTCTTCAGCAAGAGAGCACAAATGCGTCGTTTTGACAGTTTTCACTTACCATGCCTCAAAGCGGCAGCGCTCACACACTTTTGCTAGGATTTCCTTGAAAAATGGCCGACTTAGACCCCGTTTACAGTGAGAAAAGGGCCAGGGCCGCGGCCGGGGCCGAGCCAGGCCTACTCGACCTCGCAATTTTGTGCGTTTACAGTGGCAGGCTCGTCCGCGGCCTAAATTGTAACCTTTCAATATTTTGTCAGAGTGGCGCTCTGCATGTAAACAAACGATTATTTGGGGGGCGTGCCGGGGGTCACAGTGCAGATCCGGTCGCGCGCGATTGGCAGTGAATCTTTCCGAGTGGTGAGTCAACACACCGATTACTGAGCTGGGAGACATTGCCAGGCATAGCACCAGGTGGGGGGGCATAAATCAAAATTTTTTTTTTTTTTTGTACCTGTGTTTAAAGGTAAAGACCAGTTATGAAAGAAAGACCAGTTGTGAAAGAAACTTTGTGGAATCGATCAGAAAAGGTTGATAATCTAGCATCTAGCATCTGCAAGGTTCTGGAATCATCAAAATGATAAGAAATTTGGCCCATTCTTCGTAAAGTTACAAGCACTATACACAGAAAGATGTATATGGGACTATCCTATATCTCTCACAGACCATGAGAGAAACAAATTTACCAAATATATGAATTAGTAGGCGGTTTCCCGGCAAATTTTTTATCGTCATGTATTAGTCAAAACATATTCTTTCACATGATTGGTAATGAGAGCTTCCATTTCATTTTTTGAAATTGGGGCGTTTCCAATACTGGTCTTTACCTTTAAGACGCACCCCCGACTTTCAATTTTTTTGGCGGCAAAAAAGTACGTCTTATACACAGAGATTTACGGCATGTTACTTCAATAGGTGCAATAAAAAGGATATACTGGGGGGTATCCCCTCGCTCCGTAGGCATAATCCGGGGAGCATGTCAAAATCGCTGTGGTTCCAACACTCATCTAAAAGGAAAAACACAGGACAGATTATTCATTTTTACTGAAGTCAATGACAATACCCATCACATAAAACTTTGGTAATATCAAGGGAATACTTTCAGTTCCTGAATTTTCTACACTTTATACAATCACTTTAAACTGATATTAAGTTGGTTTTGATTAAAGCAGAAAAATGTGAGGAACAAGTCAGCGACAGTTTCAGCAAAATCCGAAAGTTATGAATCACAATCAAACACAAATTGGCAAGTCTGTGACGTATCTTGCGAGGCTTCCCCCCCCCCCCCACCCCCCCCACCCCTTCAGTGCTCTGTACTTTACAAAAAATCCCAAATGTCAATTTTTTGCCCTAAAGACAGTTTTCAATCATAAAAGCACTCTCATTAACCACTTGACTGCTATTGGCTTAAAGCGCATTCATACCCCCTGTGCTACTGCATTTTTGTACAGTCGAACCTGCTTTAGTGACCACTTGTCTACAAAGGCCACATTTGTTGTTTCCCTTGAAAATGGTTTCTCATTGAATAATGTACTAAAGGAACCTGTCTATAAAGACCACCTGTCTACAAAGGCCACTTTTTGTGTTTCCCTTAGGTAGTGGATACAAACAGGTTTGACTGTACTGTACAAAAACCTGACAAAAACTGTACACTGTACAAAGAAAAAAAAGCCAGATTTTTTTGTAAGAGCGCCATCTACTGTTCAAGACCTGTATAACATCCTTGCAGTGCTACGGTCTTGAAAGTGCAATGCCCTAAGCATGTACATGTACATGGGTAGCAGTCAGGTGGTTAATGGATGAAAAAGTCTTCTTACCTGGGCTACCCCTTCATCCCATGCTTTGATGACCTGGCCTGCTCCAATCTTGAATTCAAATGGTTTCCCACGATCTTTGGAGGAATCAAACTTTTCCCCATTTGTCAGTGTTCCTGGAATTAAAAGTGTTAAATGTAAAGGTGATTTCTGGTCAAGCCCTTACATTCCAAAGAAACAGTCTGGCAGCAACTGAGAGATAGGCTGATTATATACCGGTAATACAAAACACTTTTAACGGCTTACTTCGAATCATTGGTTCATCGTGTTAGGTTGGGTGGTCGCATTTCCCAACCTTTTGTGTGACCCAAAAATTGTGATATTCGAGGAGTAACTGGGTACATTTTTATCGAAAGGGGCCTGCTGCACATATCTAATCACTATGCTCGAATCTATTTTTATACTGCTTTTTACCGTAGAGGACAGTATAGTGGATTCTAGCCTCGTGCTCAACATAAACACATGTAATTCTGCACGGACATAGCAGCAGGCCCATTCTAATAATAAATGTACCTATAGTAACTCCTTAAATATCACCATTTCTGTGGCTTTTCTTGGACAACTATTGTATTTTTCCTCCAAGTTATGTATCTGCTTACAGTGATTTTGAGTACTGGGTAGTTGTCTTTCCAATTGTGCTCTTGTAGTTATTAATGATTTCTTGTTACGATCACATATATTTGTTTGGGTTCGTTTCGGCACGCATTACAGCTAATGAAGTGCACTGTGTATTCTTTCCGTGACTAGTATAGTCTAAACTTGCCTTGCAACAGCTATCAGTATCGAAACTTGTTGTGATTACCAAGTAATTTTCAGCTTTTAAAAGAAGCATGCTGTGTTTAAAATAAGATAAAAACATTTATTTATTCATTCGGTATGTTGTAAAGAAGAATTTTTAGAAAGCCGGTTTATCATTCTAAAATAAATATTTTTTAACCAGATTTATTCATCCTGCCGAGACCCAGTCAGTACTGTAGCTAGCTGTGCTGGCAACAATAACCCCATGCAGCAAACTGCTTTGCAGCCCATTTTATAACGGCAGTTCAGATCGATTCAGGATGAGCTAGAATATGATTGGTAAAAATTAAATACTTAAAAAGAGTTATAAGATGGATTTATTTTAGTAGTGTGCAATACTGCAATTTCTTACATATTTCATTATTTTTATCGGAGCGTCAGTACTAGTGCTGTAGCCAAACCGCCGAACCGAACAGAAGTTCGCCGAACATGGCACTTCCGAACCAAACCGAACCGAACGCAAAGGTTTGGTTCGGATGATCGGCAGAAAAATATTAACGTTTTTGCAAGCTAATAAACTTGTCGATTCGTACCTAATTTTCACGTTATGATTGCTCATATTATATTTACTTTTTTCCCATTTTCCGCCTTTGTGATTTATGCCTATCCAGTGGTGGGCGTGACTTCACTGGCGCCATTTAAATCCCAAATCCTGACCACGCTACGTCGCGATCGCAAGCCATAAACAAGAATACATGTGCGTGATCAAAACTAGTTCAGCTCAAGCCCATTCAACAAAAAGTTAATATTTTAATTGTAACAATATCGGACAAAAAATTTTACAATATAAATAATGAAATAAATATATATATATATATTATACTACTTTTTAGTATGGTATTTATTTATTCACGAGAAAAAGGGATTTTATATTTTTCCTATTGAAAATAAAAACAGTTATTGACGAGCCTGAATCTCCATTCAAGATGGCAGCTTTCATGTTTCTAACATTAGACAACAACCGTCTCGGAAAATCTTTAAAAAAATATCATTTATTGACAAATTGAAAACATGATTCTTTTAAAATTGAAAATAATACACGATGCAAGACGGAAATACAAATGTAAGTAGTATTTTTCTTCACAAATAATTACGTTTAGAGCAGTTTTTTAATGTGAAATTCGTGCTGGTCGGAAGCAGTGTGCAGACGTCCTCCGTGCTGGTCGGGCCCGGCAGGCCAGCCGGCCCGCCCAGTGCCGACCACCGTGGCTATAACGCTGCTTGCTATTATAATTACCGAACCCCGAACCGAACCAAGTTCGGGTGAAAAATTGCCGAACCGAACCGAACACGAACATAGCATCTGACTTACAGCACTAGTCAGTACCCAAAAAACGAAACCAGGACCCGACGGCAATATGGTGATCAAAAAGGCTAGGAGTAGAAATTGAGTTGAGGATCAACATAACCACAACAGTAAACTGTTGGCCCCTAAAGCAAAAGAAAAAGGGACAGGGAGAGAGAGAGAGAGAGAGAGAGAGAGAGAAAGAGAGAGAGAAAGAAAGAAAGAGACAGAGAGAGGGGGAGAGAGAGAGAGAGGGGGAGATAGAAAGAGGGAGAGGGAGAGAGAGAGGGAAATAAAGAGAAAGAGAGAGAAAGAGAGAGAAAGAGAGAGAGAGAGAGAGAGAGAGAGAGAGGGAGTAGGAGATTGAGTCAGAGAGAGGGAGAGGGAGTAAGACAGAGGGAGAATAGGGGGGGGGGGGGGGAGAGGAGTATCCAACTTACCAGTGTAGTGAACTGAAACAGTCTGTCCTTTCTGGGGGAATGTCTTACCTGTAAAGATAAAGAGGATGCACTAATTTATCATTCATATAAAAGGAAAACTAACCCAAAGAAATAACTTTACTTATTCTGAGAGATTTATTGTATTCTTGCCCATTAGTCTACAAGACTCCCCACCAAAGTGTACGAGAGAGGCATAAAGCAAGATATCAGATAATGAGCTAATATGCAATTTACATTTCAAAAACGCTGACCTCCAACAAAAGTTTTTGATGTTGGTTCTGCCGGAAATTTAAAAAAATGTGGAGTATACAAAGATGGAGTGTCACTAAATTCAGCTAACTCCCTGTGCGTGCTTAAATATAGGGTTTCTGAACGATTTTTCAATTTTCCCTCTTGGATCGTTTTTCACCATATTATGATTGGATAATTAAAATCGTTTACTCAGAATAATACATTTCAAATTTCAAGACACACCGATGTTTCTTTCAAAAGAAACAGCCCCCCAAAATCTTGGCAATATTAATCCATTTTGGACACGCTACATGTATTTTGTTTTGCTAAACACCTGCATCGCATGATTTTATGCAAGTGTACGCATGTTGCTTAGCTGCATGCGCTACTTGAGCGCGAACGCAAGCTCCACCTCCGTTGCCTTCCGTGTGCGGGTCCATTCACTAAATCATGCACACGCAGTCCGAATGCATGATTCTATGTGTCGTCACCATGGGTTTGGGTTTGGGCTGAGTGGAGCTCACGCCTCCATGATCCGGAAAATGGGTGGAAGGGTATTTTGAATTTCAAACTGTAATGGCTTGTGTTGTGACTAGCGGAAAAAAAAACGCATGGATAGGTCTATATTCCTTACGACTGGGATTACTAATCGCTCGGGGCATCATTTTTGTGTGAAGGTATCTACTGTAATGTCTCAGATCCTCAGCGCCCGTCTGCAACCCGGCATCGGTATGCACTTGTATTATGCGGTTTGCTGTGAAACCTGTGAAAAAGTGTACTAGATAAATATCGTTTTTCCAAAATAGGGTAGCGCGCCCGGTATTCTGTCAATTCCCAGTATTCGGTCAGACAGCCGTTTCAACAGCTGTAACAATTTAAAAAATAATTAATGAGCCGCGAAACTTGCACAAATCAGGCAGCTGAACAACTTTTCTTAACTCTCAAAATTAAATCAGATGTAGGGCCCCGGAAAGATCTCCAACTTAGCTCGAAATTGGTCAGTGTCGCACCACTTTCTGCACTTCCGCGTTCTGTTAGCACATGCGCTAACATGCATACATGTAGCCATATGTAGAAGTCTATTGCGAAACAACTTTGTGTGTTATCGCAGTGAATTTAGTATGTGTGTGAAGAGGAGCTCTTCCTAGACCGTGGGCCGAGCGCGATTTTAGGGCTTAGTTTTCTTTTTTTGGACTGACTTTGTGGTACATAGTTTTTGGTAACCAGAAATTAGGATAAAAATACACAAGTCCCAAATCAGCTTATTCCTGCGAATGAGTCCTTGTCGTTCGTATAAAACATAAGTTTAATTGACAAGTTATTTAAGAGAAATGTGCGTGAACGAGACCGCCAACTCTCCGTTCGTACACGTGTATAAACTCACCGTGCGACGAGAGTGAAACAGCGCATTCTCCGTCTCCGTCGTACGAAGAAATTATGTAATCCATTCGAATATTTCACAAAGCCAATCACATTTGCTGATGTGAATAATATGATTTTGCAAATATGAACTGCGAAAACTAATGAAAACCTCGTCAGGGTGAAAATATTTCGAAAATGAGGGGTCATAGCTACCATGAAACAGACGAGAAATAGCGCGTTGCCAATTTGATATTATTGTAAGGATCGTATGCAATTCTCTTGAATGTACACTGATTTGTGTAGAGATCAGTGGCTCCGTACTGACAAGACTCGAGTAAGTTTTGTGTAATTAAAACTTTTGATGAAAAAATTTCTTGTATTAGCAATGCAATGGTAGTTTGAGAATAGGCCTACAGAATTAGAGCAGGGCGCGACAAACCCGCTTGCCCGACGTCCCGGGGCAACCAAATTGAGCCGTCGGGCAAGTAAATCAAATTATCACTTGCCCGATTCGGGCAAGTGATACTTTTACAGTAATTTCCTAGTGTCCAAGAACTCTACCATTCACCCGTCAACTTCTTACCCGTCGTCAAAATCCAGAAGCAAAAAAGCGATCGTTCCGATTTCGAAAAAACTTCACAGACAGCTAGCCAGCTCAGCTAGCTCAGCGCGCATGCAACAGTGACACTTCAAGCCATGAATGCCGCTCCGCCTCCACGCACGGCCGGCCGTGAGCTAGCTAGAGACAGCTAGCGCGATCGTACCAGCTGCGAGCTTATTCGCGCTCTCTCTCTCTAGCTCTGCAGGCCGCACCGACAGGCCTTTGCTATTCTCTGATTGCCGATTGGTTGAATCACGCCAAATATGACGTCATTATTCTAGGGAAATGAACACGTGCGAATCGGAATGGAATAAACAACAGGGATTTTCTAGTAAGTACAAAAAGTCAAATGTTTGATATTTATTCATAATGACTGTTAATGATTGTGAACATATTATTTAAAACTCGCTGCTCATATAAATCAGATGAATGTTTTTGTCTCGTTTTCAATTTATTACTGCGGTCTCAAGATCCGACCGAGCGAGTCATTTTGATAATAGTATCGAGACCCCCAGAATATAAGCCGTTGTTGTTTTGTTTTCATGGTTTTAGCGACGTTGTTTAGTCTAGTTTTCGCATACTTATCCGAGATTTATCGTAAAATATCTTCAATATTATTATTTAGTAAGAATTTACAAATTTTGGCATGATATTTATAGCAGTGAATGATGAAATAAAAATGTCCGTACTTTATTTAAAATAGTTGATTACCCATTATTTACATGACGTTTCTTGATGGAAGAGTTGACCCAAATTATTAACAGCTGAAAATTAGCCTACGTTTCCAAATGACAGCGGCTTGCACAGACACACACGTGCGTTGATCAGCTGTTTTTTCTCGATTGTGCTAGTAAACAAAAAGTTTTGGGCAAGTGGAAATATTGTTTGGGCAAGTAAATTGAAAACCCACTTGCCCGACAGGGCAAGTGGTGAAAAAAATTCTTGTAGCACCCTGTAGAGTCCCTAAATATTCATTGTAATTATAAAAAAAGATATATGTCTTTTTGTATTTCCAGTCTTGTAGTAGTTTTTACATGTTTTCAAATGTTTGATTTTTTTTTTGGGGGGGGGGGGGGGGGACACGCTTAATAAGGTATACGGGATGTGGGTGACTTTTCTTTCCTGGAGGAAGAAAAATGACAATGTTTATTCAAAATTACACTGCATTCACTGGCTTAAAGAGAAGGTTGAGTTCTGGGAAGAGGTGAAAAATAATTTGTGAGCATTACTCATTCTTATTATGCAAGTGTGGAAGAATATCAGTTAAGACATGTTCCCTGAAAAGCATGGCCCTTCAAATGCCTTCATATTCGAAATATGCATGTAACATCGTAAAAATCGGGGGGCCGGCTTTTTACGCCACGTTTTCGTGTAGTCCCATATACATCTTTCTGTGCAAGTGTTTGTAACTTTACCAAGACTTGGCCACATTTCTTATCATTTTGATGATTCCAGAACCTTGCAATACACACAAATTCTTATATGCTAGATGATCAACCTTTTCTGGTCGGTTCCACACCGTTTCTTTCACAATGCAATCGCATGACCAGAACTCAACTTCATCTTTAAAAATTGATAACAAATACATGCTGAGGTATTATATGTGAAGTGTACAGAATGATGATGTATAATTTTATGTGACATGTGACAATTTATTTCTTCAATCATTTATTCATGTTCATCTTTAATAAATTCATTGGTTTCTTCCTTTATAAAATATTTTATTTTTGGTTAACAAATTATGCCATGGGGTGGGGGTACTCACATTTTGGTTCCGACTGGGGTGTGCCGCTAACAACTGACACCTTGTCACCATTTGTTCAGTCAAAAATGTCATAAGTCCTGACAAAATGTATAAGGCCGACAACTAACCCGTACCTATATTTAATGGTCATTTAGGCAGAACGGGGGCCATTATTTAAAAGTTTTTTTTTTTGTATACCGTCCAGCGAAAAAATGAGCTAAAATATCCGATCTGAATTAGGCCTACAAAACCCTAACCCTTAAGTTATTTTTTTGTGAAAAAATCATGCATTCCGGCGGCACATGATTCCCGTCCCGGATCCCCGTAAACCTTTATAAATATATTTATTTTTATTCATTTATTTTTGGTTAAGTGGAAGCCTTCACATACCGACATTTATCTTTCATTTCACATTCTCATCCAGTAAATGGTTCTTCGCACATACATGTAGATGGGCATTCAGTTCATCAAAACATAACAAAACTAACAGAAAATATTATGCTCTTAAATCTGTGTATTTTACTTATTAAACAATATTATTGAGTGGTTTCTTGTAAGTATCGGCTTCTGGTATACAGATCTGACAGGAAGAGGGGAAAACATGGAAAAGGATATAAAACCTTGTTACCATTTGTTTAGTCAAAAATGTATAAGTCCTGACAAATAAAATTTCTGTAAACCAAACATGTATGAAAACATTCTTTATAACTATAATAACATCACATGATTTCAAAATCCAGACGACATAAAATTATACATTATCATTCTGTACACTTCACATATATACCTCAGCATGTATCTGTTATCAATTTTTAAGCCAGTGAATGCAGTGTAATTTTGAATAAACATTGTCATATTTCTTCCTCCAGGAAAGAAAAGTCATCCACATCCCGTATACCTTATTAAGCGTGTCCCCCCCCCCCCCCCAAAAAAAAATCAAAAAATCAAACATTTGAAAACATGTAAAAACTACTACAAGACTGGAAATACAAAAAGATATATATCTTTTTTTATAATTACAATGAATATTTAGGGGCTCTAATTCTGTAGGCCTATTCTCAAACTACCATTGCATTGCTAATACAAGAAATTTTTTCATCAAAAGTTTTAATTACACAAAACTTACTCGAGTCTTGTCAGTACGGAGCCACTGATCTCTACACAGATCAGTGTACATTCAAGAGAATTGCATACGATCCTTACAATAATATCAAATTGGCAACGCGCTATTTCTCGTCTGTTTCATGGTAGCTATGACCCCTCATTTTCGAAATATTTTCACCCTGACGAGGTTTTCATTAGTTTTCACAGTTAATATTTGCAAAATCATATTATTTACATCAGCAAATGTGATTGGCTTTGTGAAATATTCGAATGGATTACATAATTTCTTCGTACGACGGAGACGGAGAATGTGCTGTTTCACTCTCGTCGCACGGTGAGTTAATACACGTGTACATGTACGAACAGAGAGTTGGCGGTCTCGTTCACGCACATTTCTCTTAAATAACTTGTCAATTAAACTTATGTTTTATACGAACGACAAGGACTCATTCGCAGGAATAAGCTGATTTGGGATTTGTGTATTTTTATCTTTTTATTAACATTATCTAAATCTTGAACCAGAATCTATGCAACGAACTGGAAGGAAAATCGCGCTCGGCCCACGGTCTATCCGTGTTCGCTCCATCGCAGCGAATTTGCAAATGACGCACTTGCCGATGTGCAAGAGGTATTTATACGATACCCTTGCCATGCGGTATCGCTCGTCCAGTATTCGGTCAACGCATTGACAATCAGTGCTTTATCGCGCAATTGTGTGAAAATAGCGCGCAAATACGCTTCGCTCCTTTGCAACAGAGATTCCACGCACAAATCGCGTGACCGAATTCTAGTCGGCGCGACCGAATTCTGGGCAGAAAAATGCTCTGTCTTCTTTCGGAAATATTTTTCTTATCATCATTCTTTATTTTAAGTGACTATTAAATCCTGTTAGAGGAATATTTTTCTGTTCTTTTGATGGGTAGATTGCAAAATAAAAGAGGTAAGAATTCAAAATATTAGTGATTTCCCCTTAAGTGACCGAATACTGGGCACTCTACCCTAGACCTAGAAAAAAAATTAACACGAAACAGGTAATAAACAATACGACTTTTAGTTTTAACTCATGATCTCTATTTAGACATTAAGGTCTAGATTCTAGGGCCGGGGTGTAACTTTAGATCTAGACTAGATCTAGGTCTAGACTCTGTCTCTAAATTTTGGGTAGGTCTAGATTCTAGACCTAGATTTCTAGATCTAAAATGTCTAACTACCACCTACTAGGCCTAGATCTAGACCTATGTTTTATCTCCACGCCGGAGTTACGGGTTAAATTTTGGATAGGTTTCTGAACAAGCGCTAAGAAATGACCCATATCCGACAGTTATTTCTGTCTAACCAATACGAGCACTGTCTGTAGTGTGTAGACCTACGTACCGTACGTAGCTAGGATCAGTGGACATGGTGAAACTTGGACATGTTGGAAGTTGAACAAGGCCATAAACATGATGAATAATCTTCCAAATAATCCCTTTTACGAGTGGCTTATCTTCATCTAACATAACATTACTTAAGATTTAAATCAAATTTTCTTACCATCCCCTGGTTTAGTAACGTTAACCTCGACACCCATATTGTATAACTATAAGGCGATCTTTTGTGAGAAAGGAGACAAATTACTCAGCTTCCTAAGCTATTCTGCTCGCTCGAAATATCAAAGTTGCGCATGCGCCAAAATGCTGTAGCTAGCTCTCGTGAGGAGGCTAGCCACCAACAATAGGGCCTATTGTGTCTCTAAGTCGTACAATCGAAAAGGAATGAGAAAATTTTGCACACTGTGCATTATGATGTCCTATGTGACATGTTATGCATGCAGGGGCGTCGCTAGACCTTTTTCAGTGGGGGGAGGGGGAGTGTAGAGGCCAACGATTACCGACAAAACTAGCCACTAATTACCGCCAAATTAATTGTCCCAATATCTACAAATTTAACCCTATAAACCCGGGGTCGCAGGCCCTATGAACTATTTAAAGTACTTGCATAATGTGCAAATGGTCATTTTCCTCGACGACATTGATATACAATTTATTACGTCAACTTAGCTATAAGCAGGCGCGTAGCTAGGATCTTATTGTAGGGAGGGGTGATAGTGAGCAAGAGTTTCACTTAAAGGGGGTGGGTGAAAGGCCTCCCGCGCGAAGCGCGGAAGCTTAGACGTTTCATTACTTATTAGGAAAAGAAAATGATCTGTTGTACCGTTCTCCCGACTCCTAATCCTTGTCTGAATTCAGTTTCCCCATTCCGTGCTTCGCGCGGAAGCTTACGTTTCATTAAATTATTATAGAAAGTAGTAACGTACGTTCCCGACTCTTAATCCTTGTCTGAATTCAGTTTCCCCATTCCGTGCTTCGCGCGGAAGCTTACGTTTCATTAAATTATTATAGAAAGTAGACGATAATGTTGTAACGTTCTCGACTCTTAATCCTTGTCTGAATGATGTTTTCTCCCTCCCGGGCGAAGCGCGGAAGTTTGTACGTTTGATTAGTAAAGAAAGAAGACGATACCGTACTACTCTTAACCGTAATTGTCTGAATTCAGTTTCTCCCCTTGCCGGGCCGGGCGAAGCGCGGAGGCCCGTGACCGACACGTACCATACATTATTCCATTCCTTCAAGCGTGTGGTTTGGAAACAGTATGCGATGGGACATAACGGTACAACGGACCTGCAGTATGTATAATAATACAAGTCTGACACATTGCCACACCTGGCGCTCCTATATTATTACCCCGGCTGCCATTCAGCGCTCAAGCATTAATTACTTAATGCCAGATCATGACCTATTTACCTCACCTGGGTCGAGTGTGGCAAATGCAGATTTATGTCTTGCCAACTAGGACGTTCGTGTCACTACAAGGATTCGAACCCTGTACATTGTCATTGTGGTTCACAGTCCGGAGACTTGACTGGAACCACAACTCTTCTTCACGACGATAGTTTAACGAATGTATGCGTCCAAGAAACTAACGAAACCGAGAATTGTCGATGCCTATCATAACTTAATCACCGTAATAATAAATGACACATATTTGTAAATCTTAGATCCTCCTCTTTCATTTGATGCAACTCATATAATGCATATTTCACGCATTCCCTGCCAATTTTCGCTCTACTTGCTTCGCGCCATCTGATCCCCCCCCCCCCCCTCCACTTTGAAAATTGATCCGCGGGGCTTCAATGTAACATCAGTAACATAAGAGTGGTGATGATTTTTGTTCTGCCCTCCTAAATAATCATTTGCTCATTACGCCATTGCCCATAATTATATATATCCATCCTCCTCTACCATCCAGTGGCAGTGATCAGCGACCACTTCGCTGATGCCTGGCGGATTCAGTACACAAAGCATTATTGCGTGTGAATAGTATGGCTCGCAGTTGTACAACGCGATCCTTACAAATCACCAAGCTAGCAATTTTTACGCATTGATGAACTTTAGATGGGCTACCTTCATCACCGATTAGATGTGTGAAGAAAAGCTTCACCCTTTTTGACCGCATTGCCAATTTGTCTCAAAGATTCTAATATTTTAATGATTTTGAGAGATTCATAACTTCTACTGGATTGTTTCTCTAATTTTTCTGCATTTATTGAAACCAATTCGATATCTTCTCCTTTAAAAACCCACTGTTCAAAGATCGATCTGACCGTTCAAAATGCGGCCCTTCTCTTTCCCGAAACAAAAACAAAATGTTCATAGCCTCCCTCACATGTGACACTGATTTAAAGCAACTGAAAGACTAAATTATTTTGAATTTCCCTCAAAGCTCACTTAATATATCCTCTCGCAAATATAGGTTATCAAAATTATGTAATTTATTTAAGAAATTGTGCTTAAAAACCCAATTCACATTATCTGACCGGTCAAAATGCGACCTCACATATCTTTAATAATTACTTTCCAGACCACTGCACAAACAACTGCAAAATATGATGCAGAAGCAGTTTCTTCAACCATGGAAAGATAAATAACAATAACATATATAGGATGATCCTTGGTAATGAAGGGATGTATCCATTAGAACATAGAGGCAGTAGTGATAAGTGTCTGAAAATCGTGTACTCTATCGCTTTGCGAATACCCTTTGTATTGGTGCCTCTTTATGTTAAAAAAGTGTCACTTTTGTTGGTACCCCCTCCCACTTTGGAAGTCGCTCCACTGCCCTGGCCAATGGGTCTGAGTTCTGGTGCGGCACTAAATTGGCAACACATTAAATCTACATTATTTTGCCAGATGTTACATGAGTATCGGTAGAAAATAATTACTGGAGGGTTTGTGAGTACAGATGTCGATGGCCTATATAGAGAGAGCCGAGGTAATATTGGAGCGCATTGAGCACCTTGGTTGGTGCACATGTGCGCTATATACAAATTAATTTCCGATATTTGATATATTGTGTATCGAAAACAGACCCCCCCCCTCCCCCCCCCCCATTGTGTATCGAAAACAGACCCCCCCCCCCCCCCCCCCCCCCTTAAAAAAAAGAGAACCAAATTTAGATTGTCACACTAATCATTTTACGTTAATAATGCTGTATTTTTCTTATGTGATCATTTTTTCTTCATTTTTTTCATTTTTTTTTCCTTCATTTTTTCATTTTTTATTTGGGGGGGGGGGACAACTCAGCTTTATAAAGGCCCTCTAAAGTGTTCGGAGCCCCAACAAATGGATGGCAACATTTTACTTAAATTATATTATAATGTGAAAGAGGATGTCATTTAAGACACACTGTCCTGCAAAGATCCCCCCCCCTCCTAAACAAAACAACAACAAAAATGTGTTGGAAGACAAATATTGATAAAAGAATACATAATTTGGGTTTTCTGTTGTATTCTTTCATCAATATAAGACTTCAAACACATTTTTTTTTTGTGGGGGGGGGGGGGGGGGGCAATGGCAGGGCAATATATACCATTGTAATAATACAAGCGATAATCTACTCCACTTGATATCATTTACGTGTGCTATACAGATGTCTGTTCGGCAAACATAATGGGAACGTGATAAATATTTTGTTTGGGCATACATTCTGGTGATTTGGTAATACATTCACATTTCAAATTTCAAGCTTCGAACTTCAAACTTCAAACTTCAAACTTGGAACAATACTAAGAAGAGGGGAGAGCAGGGTTAATTACTAGATGGGAGGAAGAGAAGGTTAAAAGAATATACAAAATTATGTTGGTAATAGGTTGGTTGTATGAAACTTCATTCATATTTGTCATCAGAAATTTCATTAAAATTTCTTTTATAACGGTATTCTTCGTATGTCTAAATTCCCATATAAACTATAAAGAATATTGATACTTTTGACGAGAATGTAGATGATGACTTCGTTATCTCGGTAGCCTGAGTCAACTTACTTTATTGAATTAGTCTGGCCGAGTTTTTTTAAGATTCTTATAATTTCCTCAATTTTTGACTAGAAACAGATGTACTATATTCAGTTTAATTAAATACCAGGTATGTACACTGATCTTAATTTCATCTTTCTTGTTTCCATATACATTTGGCCGGTATGGATGTAGTTCAGTTTACTTTACAATAAACCGGGTATGCCAATAACTCCAACATGTATCAATTTCGTGTAGTCTTGTTTGCGCGTATAATGACGAACTCATGTTCTGTTGACTAAGTATCTTACATCAAACTTGGCCCATATCTGTAGTTTACGTTTCTAAACTATTGAGGTTGATACATTTATTGATATATTTGCGCAAAGCAGATGTCCCACTCAGATCCAATATTTATAATTCAGAAGAATTGGAAGCTGCTGACGTAATCAACTATCTTTCTTTAGCATAATTGGACTTAAATTATTAATCCAATATTATAATCTTAAAATGGGTTGATTGACACGAGGCTATCTATCTTGAAAGTATAAAAAGAGAGACAGACAATCATAACTCATTGAGTTGCATTAGCTCAACAATATTCCAGAGTTCCCATCAGGTTTCTTCTTTTTCAACAAAACGAGATCTACTACGAGAGACATCATGCTTTCTTCGGCAACTTTAGCGTTCGTCGCTCTAGTCAGCATATTTGGTGGTGGTACGATAACAATAACCTTTTTCTCGAACGAATGTTTTTTAATTCCGATTTAGAATTGTTATTATCTAGGGTAGGTGTAGGGAATTGGAGACCACCAAGCTTGAACCCATCACTGTCTGTCCGTGTTGGCTCCAATATTGCTATAGCGCCATAATAATTATGTGGCCTTTAACAACACTACTGCATATATCCAATTCATTTCGAAGACTACAATGCGTTTTTTCTCCGAGAAAATTGGCAAAATTGACCAAGATGAGCAATTTTGATCGTAAAATTTTGCTCTGATATAAAAACACAATTTTCACTGAGTGTTGTGGTGTATGCAAATATTTAGGGGTGGCTCTTAAAAAGTAGTTTTAAAAGGAAGTTTATGAAGTGTGCCAACCATCACAGAAAACGTATAGCTATTGTGTGTTGTGAATGGGTGTTGCAATGCACATTATGAACGGTGTCTGATCAGAAATGTGTGTAGGCAATGGGGGACACCAGATCCAGGGTGGGGGCCTACTTTCCCCCAGTTGTTCATTTCATGTTGAAAGGCACTATCATGAAACATATATTTGGTTGTTCGTGTCACCATTCTAATTTGAATGCATTTCATTTTAAGAAGTTGTTATTGTGCTTTGAGTTTGATCAATGTAAAAGTAACATTGCCGGAACATTGTTCTGAAAGTATTTAAACATAATTTAAAGCAAACTACAGAAATATTTTGGGCCACATTGTTTTAAAATCGTTTCAAAATTACAGTAAGTTCATTGGCTGCATGTATCTCTTTCAAAAAGTGTTTGAACTAACTATAACAATCCCATTTTCATTCAAATTGTATTTAAAAGGTCTTGATTTGTAACTGTCCCTTATTACCTACACAATAAACATGTAGGTAATGAGAGAACTTTGGTGATGCCGTCATTAATCATTGTTATCTTATTACTTCATTACATCATGACCACAATTTTGTTACCAAATATAGAGAAGAAGTTACTGAAGAGAATACAAACCTTTCTGTATGTGTAACATTTTTCATGTTTCGATAAATTATGCAAATGTGCTTAAGGGTCTCCAATTCCCCACACCTACCCTATATGCAGTGGCGGATCCAGGTGGGGCCAAATCAGCCGTGCCCCCCCCCCCCCCCTTTGAACGAGGAGAAAGATAAGGAGAAGAGAAATCGAAAAGAAGATAAATAAGAAAAATAGGGGGAAATGAGAAAGGGAAAAAGGGGGAAAACCAAAACAAACTGCCCTGATTTAAGGAGGCTTTGTGAATTTCAAATAGAAAATTACAATTTCTTTCGCTCTTGACGGACATTTTGAAGGTTCTATACCTGTATTGCTAACACTCGAGAGTTTCCGGGAGCACCGGTCACTGGACCCCGACAGCGGCTCTGTCCCTGGACGTCACCCGGAAAGGCTGGCGCTTATGATCTCGCAGTGCGTTCAGAAATATTATATATTTGAGCTGTGTTCATTTCAAAGGGAAATTTACAATTGTATGTAATTATTTGTCTTCTTAGAGCTTTATTGATCATGGAGCTCTGAGAGACTATGAACTATATCTTTCCAGAATGGGCAGTGTTGTCCTGATCATTTCACGGGGTATGGTAGGAAAGATTTATTACAGCTTTGTTTACAACACAAAGCACTGTAGTACCCGGTAATAATATTATTGCGGGGCCCTTAGGGAGAACAGTATTAAAACTGATGAGGCTATACCATGGGTCAAAAGACATTAATTATAATTATCATTATTATTATCATTATATTATTATTATTATTATTAATATTATTATCATTATAACGATTTTTACCATTATTGTTATTATTATTATTATTATTATTATTATCATTATTATCATTATTACTATTTTTACCATTATTATTATTTTTATTATTATTATTATTATATTTATTATTATTATTATTATTATTGTTATTATTATTATTATTATCATTACTATTATTATACATGTAGTTATGGTTGAAATCGAGTAATAGGCTACGATTATGTTACGTGTTAGGGTTAATGAGGCAGTGTGAAGGGTCCAGAATTTAAGTTATAAAGGAATTTGGTTAGTTGAAGGAAATTGTCGCAGGAGCATGCGTTTAACAAACAATTTAAACTTTTGTTTTCGACTAAGTGAATCAATTCGACGAATAAGTAAATAATTCTATTAAATTCGTCAATACGCAGATGCTTCGATGGCAGCCTCAGTAGAATACGATGGTTGGACTTTCGAATATTCTATATTCGATCCCTACCACGCAATGAAGCCCCTTTCACCCCAGGAAATTCCTCCCGTAATGAGGTAATACACTACCCCTGCTACTTACTACTACGTGTACTACTATCACTACCACCGATTCTACTACCTACTACTACTACTACTACTACTACTACTACTACTACTACTACGACTACTACTACTACTACGACTACGACTACTACTATTACTACTACTACCATACGCCATACTACTTCATAATCAATTTTCTTTATTTCGAATTTTAAAGAATTTAATGGTATGATTTTCAAGAATACAAAATAACTGAATGTTTATTCACAATGACTTTAACCGAAAACTAAGAGTTTGAGAAATTTAGCCGAGTATTTTGGAAGGAAAAGTATTTGGAAAAAACAACAACATATTTGTACAAAATGTTTTGTTATGTTTTATGTATTAACAAAACGAGAGTATTTTAGAAAAAATGTGAACTTTCAAGTTTCTTAAAAGCAAGAGAAGGGAGCAATCAAAATGTTGACCTCATATTGACAGCAGGCGCGGGGGTTTGGGGGGTTAAACCCCCCCCCCCCTTTGGATTTTTTTTAATTTTTTTTTTTTTTTAAATTAAAAAAATTATTCCCATGGCTGACCTAAAAAGGTGACCTTACCCCCCCCCCCCCCCAACGGAGCCAAATGTCAAATTTTCAAATTTCGATACCAAAAAAAAAAGTGTCCTCTTACCCCCCCCCCCCCCCCCCTTGAAATTTGAAGAAAAAAAAACCGTTGAAAAAACGAAATAGCGCCTTTTACGTCGTATTTCAGCCAATGCCGATAATGGCTTTTTTGTTGGCATTTTCGTGTTGCTTATATTACCCACAATTAGCCGGCTCTTGTATTGTTATTTTTAATTAAATAATTAATTAACGGTCACCGTGTTTTTTTTTAAAGTGGAGCTGAATTGGTATGATCAAATTGGCTAAATTTCACACATTTTGGGGTCTAAAATTACCTTCATAGCAATTTGAGGTTCTAAAAGGGCACTATAAATGTCATAGATAAGAATAAGAGCAATAACCATGCACTTTGAAGGCATTTGTGGTCTGAAAACAGAACTCAACTATCCCTTTAAAATAATTTGTTCCAATCTAGACTCTTCACCGTGAATGCAGCAGGCGGCGAAGGGCAGATTCTTGATCGCAACCATCCCGAGACCATTATGTATTCAGACTTCAGGGCTGATCGAGACACCAAAGTCATCATCCATGGCTACACCGAGAACGGGTTAAGAGACCAGTACGTGAAGATGAAAGACGCGTACCTAGGGGCAGTAAGTCTTTACAAACTTTATACAGATGTGAATGGAACCTAAGTCGTGAATTTATTTCGTCATAAATAATAATGATGATGATAATATTAACGATGATTATGATGGTGATGATAGGCATAATAGCAATAGTGGGTTCTTTATCATTGTAGTTCTTATCCCTGCTTTATCATGCATAGACTGTTATTGTGGCTCAAGCATTAGGGACTTTTAGATTTGCACAACGGCAACGTGGATTGCTACGATCGACGTCCTTTTAATGCACTGCCTTGAATGGACGTCACACGTATCAGTCCACGCAAATCTAAAAGTCCCTATTTAAATTTATCAGGAACCAGATGGAGTTGAATTAATTCACTCCGTATTATATTAAGGCCTTCTTGCTCACCATTTAACATTGTTACGTCCCTCACCATATTGCAACCACTTCAATAAAATGTTAGTTTTATTTAGGGGAACCTAATAATTTATTCATTATATAATGTGATATACTTTTAGTATATTTTATATTATGTTCTAATTTTGTCAATTATGTTTAATGTTGTCGATTATATTGATTCTATTTTGTGAAATGTGAAACAAAATAAACTTGAACTTGAAACTTGATATTGGAATCACCCTAAGAAATGACTGAAGTACTCTTTTGAGAGTATTTTCGACTCTTTGGAGCGTGGATTTCTATTCCTGTGCATTTCGGTACGTATTCTACTAATTTAAGCCTCGGTCACAAATGCCATTTCAAACTGCTACGAACTCCGTATGAACGATTTTCAGACAATGGAAATTCGGGAAGACAATGGAAAAACAGGGAGATTCGTACGAACGCATCGTTCGTACGAACCTTTGTGACCGTAGCTTTAATTAGACCCGAGTCACCCGAGTATCGGTTTACAAGGGAAAACATACTAACTTCCTTTGTTAATAACCCGATTTTGAATTAAAGATGAAGTTGAGTTCTGGTCATGCGATTGCATTGTGAAAGAAACGGTGTAGAACCGACCAGAAAAGGTTGATCATCTAGCATATAAGAATTTGTGTGTATTGCAAGGTTCTGGAATCATCAAAATGATAAGAAATTTGGACAAATCTTGGTAAAATTACAAACACTTGCACAGAAAGATGTATTTATGGGACTACACGAACACGTGGCGTAAAAAGCCGGCCCCCGATTTTTACGATGTTACATTTGAAGAGCAATGCTTTTCAGGGAACATGTCTTAACTGATGTTCTTCCACACTTGCATAATGCTCACAAATTATTTTTCACCTCTTCCCAGAACTCAACCTTCTCTTTAAGCCTCGGTCACAAATGCCATTACGAACTGCTACGAACGCCGTACGAACGATTTTCAGATAATGGAAATTTGGGAAGACAATGGAAAAACAGGGAGATTCGTACGAAATTAGCGTTCGTACGAACCTTTGTGACCGTAGCATAAAGTCACACCGCCACCCCGACTCCATACCAACTCCGTATCGACCGTTTCTTGGCCATTGGAGAGAATGTAATATTTTTATTCGGTTTGTTATCGGTCTCGTTGGTGTGTCTGGGGTATAACTAGCTTGTGTTCACACTGTTTACCTATAACCAGACTGATGTGAACGTGATCATCGTAGATTGGCGCCTCGGAGCTGATGGTAGCTACTTTCAGAGCCGTGCCAACACGCGCGTGATCGGCAAGGAGACGGCGGCCTTCCTCCACGCGCTGAAGACCACAGCTCAAACCGACTTCAACAAGATTCACATTGTCGGCCACAGCCTTGGTTCCCATGTCGCCGGGTACGCCGGGGAAGCGTTGATCCAGGATTACCAAGAGATGGTTGCCAGAATCACAGGTGAATCTCGATTCTGGCATTTCTTATTATATCTACACGTGCTAAAGAGAGCAGGATAATACAGGTATCTAATTCTTGTTTGTAGACCCAGTGAACGCAAGGCGTTATTTCACTTGCGCCATCCAAGGACATTCAGGCATGCAACCGCACAAAGAAATTGAGGCGCATTCTCTAGGCATGTGCAGACGCAACCCTTGACGCAGGGTGCGATAGGCTGACGCAAGGTGTCAGAGGGGAACAATCCATAACGCTGAGAGACAATTTCGGGCGTAGTCGTCATCAGCGTGATTCTGCAGAGGACTACATGCTGCACCAAACATTCATTTTGCAGGTGGTGGTATGGGGCAAAAACGCCTTGTGTGCATTGCGGCACACTCAAAGCATATAGAAATCTGATAATTGCAAGGGCGAAACCCGTTCTATGTTTGTAGTTTTAACCAATGGAATAGCGATGGACTGTCAGGGGGAGACAAGATGAATGGCATGCGATGGGTAGGCTTAAATGACGTTGATTATGGGGAGTGGATAGACAGTCAAGGGTTGATCGTCCATATAGAAGATTGATGCAAACTCCGCATAATTACGATGTTATGATATTGAAATCAGCATAGACCTTTATCACTTATTATATGTACATATTATGTAAAAAAAAACATTTTGACATGAAAAAATTATTGTTTGTATATGTTGCATTATACCTTACATTTATATGTTCTTTGTTGTTCAGTTATATTATATTTGGGAAAATGCAGAAATAAAAATATATATCATAAATGATTTATGAATACCCATTTCAATTAAGGTCTGGACCCTGCTGGTCCGTTGTTTGGTGGATACGGTGTGAAGTCTAACTACAGACTGGATAAGACCGATGCTGCCTTTGTAGATGTCATCCATACTGATGGGGATTTCGCTGCTGTTGGAGGAATGGGCCTTATGGATCAGGTTAGTTAGAGAAGATATGCCGTAAGGTCACAACCTACTTTTTTTCTACAACAATGAAATTATAAAAAAACGTACATAATGAAATGCACACAAGGAACAACTGTATACAACTCAAAATACCAAACAATAGTATAGTCAACTAATAATAATGAAATTGACGATTTAAGATTTTTGTTAAACTGAACCAGACCGTGGAAAATTGATAGGCATTGTATTATTGTTGAGGGAGCAAAATATATGCGTTGTGGCACCCTACATGATTGGTACAATATTGCCGACGTAATGCACCTTTCAACATGTTAAAGCTGCTCATGCGTGGGTATATAGAGGGCAGCACACTGAGCCAACGGGTATTACGCACATTACGCTTCCGTACGTGCGTACTAGTGTCCCTTTATGCGTCCGTCCGTACGGGAGCGTGATATTCGTTGGCTTAGTGTTCGCCAAATTGCCTACTGTCTTCACGAACGACTATAGTTATACCCACGCCTGAACATCTTTAAGTGTCTGCGAACCTGTATAATTAGGACGGTTTCATGAAATGATGGTTACACCGTGTTTGATCCGCGGAGAGGGGGCGGTTGGTCTATTTTTTTTTGGGGGGGGGGCGGGGTCTTATACCACATGCCCTAGTGAATGTACATTCCCAAAATGAAGCCAACATAATATGGTCTCTGTCGGGAAAAGATTCTCTTTTCATGATGACATCATTCTGCCATTACGACCTTATTATCCTAAGTCTGAAGTTAATCAAGTATCTCATTCTAATTTCCAGCTCGGTCATCAAGATTTCTACCCGAATGGCGGGAAAGACATGTCTGGGTGTGACCCGACCGTTCATAATGTCATCGACAGTGCGTTTTGTGACCACATACTCTCCGTCGAATACTTTACGAATACCATACCAAGTCCCGGTCGTTATGCAACTACCTCCTATGCTCAGAGCTTCTTCGATAGACTAATCAATGGAGTCGATTATCAAGATTGCAAGCAGCCATGCCCTGAAATGGGTGAACATGCTAAGCCTGGCCGAGAGGGGGCGTTCTACGTCAAGGTCGAATGACTCGGAGAAGAGTACTAAACTTCTTCATCTTTTCTCACAAATACTAAATTATCTGTCAAGTGATTCACTCTGTAGACTAGCTTGGGATGTGTAAACCTTCAAGTTTTTCTCTTGTTGGAAATTTGTACAAAATTACAATGTTTTAAATTCAACGGAAGGGGGGGGGGGCGGGGGCGTGGATTTATACCTTCAGATAATCTGCGTTCTCCATTTGCAGCCATTTAGTGATATAGACGATAAGATTTTGAAAGAATTTGTAATAGAATTGTATATAAGTATTCCAATATGTAAAATGTTAATGAGTAAGGATGAATAGTCATGCGATTAGTATAATCTGAATTTCAAGGGATTTCACGCTTCTTTGGAGGGGGAGGGGGGGGGCTAAATCGGCTCAAAATCAGTGATGTCAGACCAGTAGTGCGGTTGTCGACGAGTTGAAGCCGATTCTGCTTTTATTTTGACTAGATGAGTTAAATGGACTAAAATTTCCGTAGTTAATAATCATATAATTCTTAAGAACCTCTCAACGAAAATCGGATCGCAGGAGAATCGTGTTGATGATTGAAATATCCGACGTTTTAATGAGCCTAAGTAACTGTGTCAACTAATTGTAGCTGCCAATAAAATTGATTTAAAAGCATATATCTTAGTTGGTGTTATTTCTGTATTTTTTATTTCTTTTATTATAATTTCTTTGATTGCATTGCAAGCCTTCCCACCCCGCAAAATACTAGTGGAAAATCAAAATTGTTTTTATTGCATTTTGGCATTTAAAATCAAAGCACACAGGATTAAATGACAAATGGAGGCATAATTAAAAAAAAAAAAAAAAAAAAAAACGGCCACTCGAATTTGACCTTTCCTTCTCTTTTAGTGATGTTGGAAAATCATTGAAACAGAAGTATATTTACAGTAGGTTTGCGGGTGAACCATGTGACGACGGATAGTCAACCTGTTCGAAACGTCGAGCCACTCATCCTCTCCAAGCGCTATAGTTCTCCTCAGAACTATAAGCTAAGAAAGATAACAAACAGTCCTTTTCAGGACTACACACCCCCAAGAAAGATTACCGAGTCAGAGTCCTTTCCAGGACTCCTCAAACCCCTCTCTCTCTCTCTCTCTCACATGGTGCACCCGCAAACCTACTGTATATCTACATCACCATGCAAGCCGACACTTACAAGCAGAACTATATTTGTAAAGAATTTGGAACCAGACGTACCTGATAGAGAGAGGGAGGGGGTTGGCAAGAGTACGTGGGTCACAGATGGGCGTGTGTGTTTGTGTTTGATGTGTCGTGTTGGTATTATCACGAAAAAGAAGAAGAAGGAGAAGAACAATAACATGAAACAGAAGATAAAGGGAAAAAAGAAGAAGAGTGAGAAGAGGAAGAGAAAGAAAATGAAGAAAAGGGAGAATAAGAAAAAGAAGAAAAGAAGAAGAAGCCTTATATAGAGAAGAATAGGATGATGAAACGGAGGAAGAAAGAAATAAACAAAGAGAGAGAGAGAGATATAGTTGAGAATTCATATGTTTTGTAAATATGAATAAGTAGATGAAGAAAGGGTTTGGGATATTCATTTTGTTTAGTGTAGACGATATCAAATATATTTAGTTATCCTATTCAAAAGTTGGCGCAACAATCAAAACAAATAGAGTCAAACGTGTTAAATGGGTATTGATTTTTATATTCATTTATTATGAACTCTGACTTTACAAATTGAAATTTACATAGATATTCAATAATTTACATAATTTTGATAATTGCTCTTCTTTATGATAGGTGGAATTGCATTTTAAAAAATATTTTTGAATAATAAAATAAAACACCCCCCCCCCCCCAATAATAACTAAATTATGAAAAGGAGGAATAACATAGAATATTAAAAAAATAATACAAGGGAATGGAGACAGAAAAGAGAGGGAGAGAGATGGAGATAGATCAAATTTGATAAGATTTGCCATCAAACTCTTTCACTTAGTTTATGAATACAATTGCCCCATGTATGACTTGTTTTTTATGACACAAACTAAAGTAGGCCTACCTCCTTGTCATTATTTGCAGCAAGAGACAAAAAAAGTCCTTAATAACGCAAAATATTGGAGATTTGGAGAATAATCACTTTACACTACGAATTACTAAAGTTGCGATACTTCTCTTCCTTTTCTTTAAAGGAATTAACACAAGAACATACAATAATGATCAATGAAGACTGTCCATTAGAGGCCACTGGGCCCATATGTCGCCTTTGTTGGGGGCATAGAGTTTCAGCTGGATCGCCTCATACCGAGGGAGTTCTGGAAAAAAATCGAGTCCGGTCAATTTCTCGATGTCCTTGATTGTAGTTAGGTGATGCTCCACGTAGTCTGGCTTTGTCTGTCGATTAAAACAATATCATAAATATTTGTAAGGATCCCTGTTTTAAATTTGAAAGAAAATGGCATGAATTTACTTAATGCGACACTGTATAGAAGCATCCCCCTTTAGTGCCAACTCAGATAAGCTGTAGCAGTATGATCCGTAACTAAAATCGCGTATCGCTGTTTGTTCTCGCATCGATCCTCTGTCTTCGGAGCGGCATGTGCACGAAGAGAGACCCAGAGTTGACCAGTTCGGTATCGCTTTAAAATTGTATTCAATCCTTTCTTTTTGTAACCTATACGGTTTTGTAACGCTAGCTGGCTAACCCTCAACCTAATCATAATCCTAACACAATATATAATCGGACATGTATACCTCAGAAGAATATAATTTGAATAAAACCCTACCTATAAATAAAAATAATAGATGAAATGAAATACATGTACAGAAATTGAACAAATAGAGTGTATGAATGTTGATGATTTTTATTGTTTGTTGTGGTGTTGATAATGATGTTGATGGTGATAATGATGATGATGATGCTGCTGCTGCTGAGAATGATGATGACGATGATGGGAGGGACATGGCAGAGGTCTTTACTTAGATTTGGGTAGATATTGGGAAATAGTATGTTGTATATGACTTGAAATGATCTGATTATGCTGATGATAACGTTAATGTTGTACCTGACAAGTTTTGATCCCACGGTTGTTTCTCAAGACGAAAGCAGCGGATTCTACTTCTGCGCATGCGCTGTTTAGCTGGGCACCTCCTTTGCATCTTGCTATAATCATGAAGTAGTGAGTGGGCAGCAGACTAGGAGAATCGCCATAAATCACCCTGGAAATAATTTAAACAGATATATAAAACCAATCTTTAGTTTAAGTTAGAGAGTGCAAAGGTTCGCCTGCTTTCCATGTTAAGCCGACCAATGAGTTGTTATTATCATAAAGAGATGTAGTAATGATAAACACACATGATTTATGTAAGATGAGTTTCATTTAATAACTGATATCTTTGATGTAAATAGTACCTTCCGTTGGTTCGGATGCTTGCTAATATTATCCAATATTCTGATGAGAATAAGGAGGATTAAGAAAGGCGTAACAAAATGTTCAAATGTTATCCAAAAGATTTTTTTGATTAACAAATCAAAAGGGTAACCGATTTCATCTTAATATTATAACTAAATATTTATCCATTTGTTTTGCCTATAATGATCGATGATACTACGAATGTCGTTCGTTGCCTTGTTCTGTTTTCTGTCGCAAAATAGAGGAATTCCCCCAAAAGGGCCGGATACGTGGGGCACTATTTACTTAGGTATTCAGATTGTGCCCCCTCCTCCTCTTCCGGCAGATGGAGATGCACTTGTCGATAACTAGAAGAAAAATTATATTGAAAGAATATATTTAGGCGTACCCGTCTTTTTCAAGCGTGTTGTTGTTGTCTCTTAACCCATCACCGTCGTAGTCGAAAACGGGACCGGTCACGACGTTGATCTCCGAGCTGATGTTAGCCCACAGAGCCAGATGGGGTACAAGAAAGCCATCCCATATATCTGATGGTGAAAAGTCCAGGGAGTTTGAGAGAAAGAGAAAGAGAGGGGTAGGGAGAGAGAGTCATTATAATACAAAAAGCGTTGAAAACAGTTGAGTTAAGAGCAGTTCTTGAAAACTACATTCAATGGCAAAGAATTTGGAGAAAACCAACTCAAGGGTAATATTAATACTCTTATGTATATCTCATAGAAACCTTGTTCAAATTACGTAATACGTCACTGTAACGTTCTCAAGTTTTAAAGGGGGATGGGTAAAGAGGAACAATGAATTGCCTTTGGTTGGTTTTCTGAAATACTTTGTCATCGTGCTCTAATGTAATCTAATGTTCGATGTTCCTCTAAAAGAAATCATTTTTGCTAAAATGGCATTGTTCCTGACCATTTCAAGTCAGTGAAATCTGTACCCATATATGAAACAGGACATAGAGAAAAGAGAAAATGTAAACTATCCTTCATAGACTCCAGTGAATAGTATGTAGTTTCTCCAAAAGTACCGCTCCTGGTCATCGAGTGTTAGTTATGTACTTTTTCATTTTTCTGAGTTTCTGTTGTTTTTTAAAAGTTCATTTTACAAGCTTTTCTACTTTGTTTTGCAGGTCTAAGATAGCAATATATTGTGTATCTATGCTTTCAAATTTGAAATTTACCAACAAGAATACGGCAAGGCCATTATTTGAAGAATATGAGTTGAGAGGTGTATCAATGTAGCATAGCTGAGAGGTTAGAGGTGCACACGAGGAGTGAGTTGGACTAGCTCTCTGTCTTTGCATACAAACTTACTCAGCGGACCCTCGTTTGAGACCTACCCCCTGTCCACACACAACATTTTCCGTGATTAGGCGTGATTAGCTATACCGTTTCGGGATAGTTTATACAGTTTGCGATAGTTATACGATGAGATTGTGTGTGTGGACGCTCACTAACGATACGTCGTATAACGAAACGGGGGTTTGGGAATCGTTTCGAACTAGAACTCAATAAAGAATCACGCCTAATCACGCCTAATCACGGAAGGTATTGTGTGTGGACGTAACTAGTGTAACTAGTGTAACTAACTGGGCGGGGCTTAACGTGACCTCGCGCGAAAGGAGACATGACCTCTCATTTCCGCTTCCATTTCATGACCGCAGTAGCAAACTGCGCACCTATACTACATTTCGCTGTAGAGTTTCAGGATTACTTTCTTCTGTGTGTGGACATCCTGGAATTTATACGATGATTATTTATACGACGTATCTTGTGTGTGGACACTCTGAAATTTATACGATGATTCTTTATACGACGTTTCGTTATAGAGTTTTGGGATAAATTGTTTTGTGTGTGGACACGCTGCGAGTTACATCTTTCGGATGGTGACGTTAAAGGTCTGATTGATACACGTCTGTAAAAACCCAAATTACATACCTGTGATAAAACCTGGAAACTGTGGCACCGTGTTGGTTGAAATAAGGGTATCCATGAGGCGTTCAGAACTATCCGTTAAAGCTAAAAACAGAAAAATGAAACATCATGTCAGTTATTGGTTTCCGACTTCATCTTAACGGAAACCTCATTTTTCTAGTATTTGGGACTGCATCTGTGATGATATGAAAATACAATGTATTAAATGTTGATTATTTTCTATTCTATATTGTTAGATCCTACATAGAGGTAACCATTGGATTCGGGCCACGCACCACGTACAAAGTCGAGGTATATTGTAATAATAAGTCTCTTGAAAGCACAATACAATTTAGTGAATTTATGGGCCTATAAATTGTTGCCTTTCATGTCTTTGTGACTGTCTTAAACTTTTTAAATGGCTTTTTTCTGCTTCCTCTTAGTCAATGTTTGAGAGAGAGAGAGAGAAAAAAAAAGTTTGAGTTTTTCACTCTAAAATATTAATGTGTAGCGGAAATGAGAACGTTTAGAATATTAATTTTCATGAAATGAAAGTTCTTACTAGGAGGGAACAGATAGCCGGTGGTTAAATCAGTGAAGTCATCGGTGAGGCCCTCGTAATCGGAACAACTCGGTGAGAATTCGGCATCGATTCGGACATCGGGTCGCACTCGGCAGTCGGGCATAATCGGCATCTGATTCATCGGCTGAAAGATAACAGTCAAGGGAAATATTAGCTCGAGGTTCGTTGAAGCATCTTTTGTATTATTGCGCATTCACCTAATTCAAATAGCGGTAAACATCATTAAGAAGTATTAAGTAAATAGGCCAACATGTGTTAAAATTTCGATGGAAGTTCCAAATTTTGATTTGATTTGATTTGGTTTATTTTCTCCTGCATTCCACGTAAATAAAAACAAATTTCGGTAACATAACAAACATCAAATACTAAAAAGTACTTTCTGACGATGAATCATGAATAAGCAAATAAACATAACAATTATATATATTATTACCAACAAAGTCAAAATATCATATTTCATCAAATTTTAATAAAAGATTATTTGCGGAAGAAGGACTGAAATCGAAATGGCACTGAATATTTTACATCTTTCTTTCACAGTTCCTACCTGAGGCCTTTGGAGAGTGTAGGACGACCAGATCGGAGACCGGAGGTCATGACTGTACGCTGTGACGTAATCATGCTGGGTCAGGTGACAGTAATCCGTGTCAAAGGTCATGACAGGAGCGCCCAACGGTGCGTGCTGCAGCAGAGCTTCATTTACTGTAAATATGAATACGATACCGTGATTAATCAAAATAGCGATAAAATGGCTTTTTAAAAGAACATTATGCTTCGAGAGAGATACAAACAAACAAAGAATATGCAAACGGGGCGTTTTTGGGTAGCATTAGGGAATAAATATTCCGAAACTGCAGAATTTACATCAGTAATTAATCTGATCACCTTGGGTATACGAAACGGGACGGGGGAGGAAGGTTGCTAGATATTTAGCCATCCCTTCCCCTCCTCTTCCTCCTTCTCCTCCTCCTCCTCCTCCTCCTTCTCCTCCTCCTCCTCCTCCTCTTCCTCCTTCTTCTCCTCCTCCTCCTTCCCCCACCTTCGATCGACTCGAGGTGCCCGATTATGAGTAAATTTGTTTTAATATCCTATTAAAGAGAAGGTTGAGTTCTGGGAAGAGGTGATAAATAATTTGTGAGCGTTATCATTCTTATTATGCAAGTGTGGAAGAACATCATATAAGACATGTTCCCTGAAAAGCGTGGCTCTTCAAATGCCTTCATATTCTTAATATGTCATGTAACATCGTAAAACTCCGGGGTAGGATTTTTACGCCACGTGTTCGTGTAGTCCCATATTCATCTTTCTGTGTACAGTGTTTGTAACTTTACCAAGACTTGGCCAAATTTCTTATCATTTTGATTATTCCAGAACCTTGCAATACACACAAATAATATATGCTAGACGATCAACCTTTTCTGGTCAATTCTACGCCGTTTCTTTCACAATGCAATCGCATGACCAGAACTCAACTTCATCTTTAAGTGTACGCCTTTTTTAATGACGAAATAACTTATTCAAAATAATAAAATGCCATTTCCGTCAGCTATACCCCCCCCCCCCCCCGTGTATCAAGTTTATCTGTCAATTGCGGTTCACTAACATATTACAATTTATGGATGTTTCTTTCCTGGATACCTATTGATGAGTTTTTCCATTAACCTGTTATTAATGACTGAACTACAATACTTGGAATCCAGTCTGTATACATCAGTTGTTGCTATATTGGGCAAGCCTCGGTCAATTTTTCAGGTTGTCAAGAACAACCCTTGTTTAAAAAGTATGCATGGCATTTGAATATGTTGGTATACCAGTCTATCGGCTGCAGTATGAGACTTTCGAGTAAGAGGTATATGGAATAGACCAGTTCACGGTTTTTTAATAGCACATGTCCCAAATGACCCCGAATATCCACAGATCTTAAACACGTGAAGAGGTCCCACTTTGTATATTTTGAAATGATCACTCCTACAGCGATGGAGGTGTTACATAAATAACATTTGTTTTCCCTTTTTAAAGGATACTTCCACCTGTGCATCATGGAGTGCACTGCTTGCGCATAAATGAATAATGATTACATAACTTTCATAAGCACGTATCAAGTATTTTGTCTCCCTGTATTTCACAATTTGGTCTGCAATGACCTTTATCTGCTCATGCTCGGACTGCAACTATGACCTGGCTTATTACCTTCCTCTGACGAAAGGTTTAATTCTTCATCGTACATCTCAACATCGGTGGCATTCTGTGAAAGGAGAATGAAACGATAATAGTACAATGTATGGTCATAATATATTCGACACTTGCTCCGAGGAACACTTCCAAAACAATTAAATTCCTTAAAGGGAACGTCCACCCTGATATTAAGTTCGTTTTCATAGAGCTCTAGGCAGAAAAATGAGAGAAAATATTTTGTTGAAGGAGTTTTATTACAGGGTAAAATTTGGAGCTCACAAAATACGTCGTAGAGTTACCAATTTCTGTTTAATTGATCGTATTTTCAAAAATTCATACCTTTCTTATTTTTAATCGGTTTTTTCTCAAACTTTCACTGCCCTGTTTCTCTTCTGATTTTTTTATTCTTTGTCTTCTATCAAATTTAACTAAATATCAGGGTGGCATTCCCCTTTAAATTCAAGCCCGGACCCAGCACTCTTCCTCAGCTGACACCTTGACCCGATTCCAAAGAAGATTCCACTTTAAACCGCTATAAATAAGCCTAACTAGAGTGCATTTCGACGGAGCAAATAACGTATGCCAGTCACTGTCGATACCTAACAGGTGACACAATCAACGAGTACTTAAAAGCATCATTTCATTTTAGTAATTGGCGTGAAGGACTGGATGTTTCTTGAAACAGTTGCTATCAACTTATTCGTTTTTTTTTTTTTACAACGTAGAAACGATTTCCATGGCCACAAATTTATTGAACGACGATGCAGATATTTCACATTAAAGGCAAATGGTATCCTATACTGGTATGAAGAGGTGTACACGAAGCCCAAACATCTAAATATATATTTGGGGTTGTGTTTCTCAGTAATTTTCATCTGATAAGATTTGGATATACAGATAGATTTGCATTTAAGTACTTTACATAACTAATTATGATACTTTTAAGGTCACTCACACAGTCACACCCTGAAGTATCATTCTCCAATCTCATGTTGTAATCCTCATCAGTTGAAGGGAAGGGACAGTCCATTTTAGGCGTGGGGGTGGTTGAATCATCTGGAAGTGGTTTAGGATTTCTGAGCATATGATGAAGGCTTCCCATCGTTCCATTATTTGGAGCTGGCTCAAGATCCAAAAGTTCTAGAAAAACACGAAAAATATATTTTTCCATATCATTTTTGTTCAACTCAACCCCAAAATATACGTAGGCCTACATTTTGCAGATTGGTGAAACCTCTTCGGTGCTCAAAAAGGTTTGGGGTTCGATTCTTGCTTGGCGCTTACATCCTTGCATAATGAGTCTTACGCATAATGTGCTTCCCTTCTCGACCCTGGGGGGGGGTGTTACATAAAGACTAAGATCGACTTAAGTTGGACTTACTATGGCAGGCCATTCATGCCACTGGTTGCTCTCACCATTATGATCTTTAGATAATATTTTTTTCCTTGATTAATGAATTATCAAAAAGTGTACAGTCTGTAGATTGGTGACCATGATTTGTACGTCCCTTTAGAGACCAATGCCAGTAAACTGTGAGAGCAAACAGTGGCATGAACGGCCTGCTATAGTTAAGTCCAACTTAAAGTCGATCTTAGTCTTTGTGAAACACTCCCCAGGTATGTTAAATGGGTCCTTGGCAATGCTGGGTATATCATTACCGCGGGGCCAGCCAGAAGAGCAGTATTAATACCGATGTCGCTACATTTGGTAAATAACACCGCTCACGCTTTTTCAGGTTGCATAAGCAAAGCTTTGGAATAAAGTTCCAGAATATATCAAAAATTGTGATACTGTTAAAAAATTCAAAACACGTTTCCTTTTAGAATCAATTTCCAATGTTTACTAATGACTTAAAGGAAGTATGCTGAGCATATCTCCCTCTTCTCTTTTTTTCCACTTCACTTCTCTCCATTACAACGCGTGTGAAATATTTTTGATATGCGCTTTATAAGCATTGCATATTATCATTTTTACCATCATATTTATATCTAAATAGACTCACAACGCCCCTACTAATAAAACAGTAAACATAGGACGGGGAAGGGGGCAATGATCACTTACCACACATGACGTTATATAACTCAATATTCTGGAAAGGCTGGACTGCTACCTGGCTCTTGAAACCTGGTCCAATTGCAACAAACATTGCCTGCAGCGAAAAAAAATTGAACGAAGGATTCACGACTTTATTTAATGATTGATTTTGCAATTGATTGTTATTTTATATTTATTTATTTATATATTCATCTCTTCTTATTTCTATTTTAGCAGGGTAGCATTGTCAGTTACAAAACTGCTTTCCACATTGACCTTGTTGGCCTCGATAATAATATGATAATATTAGGATGAAACATTGAAAGTGTAGACAAATTCATTGCTAAGTTCTATATACATGTACCAAATAATGATATAAGGCAAACTTATATCAATAATAAAGGCGAATTCAAAGACTTTTGTTGAAGATTACATCAACTAAACCAAGAATTTCCGAGGAGTAACTTGCCTTGTGTTTAACCATCCTCTCCTCCTCCTTTCCCATTCCACTATGCAGACATTCTTTTCTATAACAATATCGAAATAGTGCCTCACAAATATTGAAGTATACTGACATCAGAATTAGGTGGGGGATAGATATACTACAGAAAGCACGTGGAAAATAATTTTTTCAAAACGAGTATGTTCAGAAAGAGCTTTCCATGTGCTTTTGTTAACAAAAGTCGACGATAATAGGAATTTACCTTCATTAAATTGCCTAAATTGTCGTATCCATGAGTTCCTCCGTCGCACCAAGTTGTTGCTCCCCTGAGGAAAGAAGAAGAAAAAAATTCAAAATACTTACTTTTTGAAATATGTTGTATTATATCACTTATCGTGAGATTGTTGCATTAGGTGTGTACATAACAAGAAAAAAATAGTTTTACTGCAAAAGACGTTTCCTGCCGACTAGATCGAAATAGTTCATTTTTATTGATGACGTCACGCATAGTACCTTTTTTCCCTAGGGAAAAAAGGTACTTATGCGTGACGTCACAATAAAAAACGCATATTCTTGAACTCTGCGTTTTCCCAGCGAGCGCGTACATGATTTCAAAGTGCCTCTGCGCGGTCAACCCCTGCGGTGTCACGGCGCTCAAGCCATATGCAATTTACGCTGTGCGATAACTGCACTACACTAACGCCAGCTAAACATTTTTACATCCTTCAATGTTTCATTTGAGCCGTGCAATTTTCTTTATTTCTTTTCGATCTGAATGTAGATGTGAATGTGAGTATAAGGTTCATGTTATTACAGAAGTGTACAAGGAATAATACAGATGGAAGGGATATAAAACAAATATAAAATGACTCATTCTCGGAACAAGCTAAAACTATTCGCACTCAGGAACATCATTAGTACTTTTCTCCCTCGGGCCGATGGCCCTCGGGAGAATAGTACTAGTTGATGTTCCTTCGATGCGAATAGTTTCAGCTAGATCCTCGAGTGTCATTGTATATTTGTGTACTGTATTATTACTATTTCTCTAATCAAAGTAGGAAAAAACAATGGTATCAAGTTGATACTTTCATTAGCATGGCCGTTATTAAAAAAAAACAGTTTAAAAAGAAAGTTGAGTTCTGGGGAGAGGTGAAAAAATAATAATTGAGCATTTTCATTGTTAATATGCAAGTGTGGAAGAACATCAGAGAAAAAAACGTTCCCTGAAAAGCATGGCTCTTCAAAATATGACATGTAGCAGCTTAAAAATGAGGACCTCGTTTTTATGCCACATGTTTGTTTAGTCCAATATACATCTCTCTGTGTACAGTGCCTGTTACTTTTACCAAGACTGGGCCAAATTTCTTATCATTTTTATGGTTCCAGAACCTGCGCACAGTACACACTAACACTAAATATGCTACATGATCAACTTTTTCTGATCGATTCCACACCGTTTCTTTTACAAAGTAATCGCATGACCAGAGCTGAACTTTATCTTTAAACATTGCGAAACATATATCAAAATGAAATACATAGGAAATACATAACATCAGTCTAAATGGATGTGGGAAGAATTACGCCACCAATATCTTTCATATCTACATCGCACGTCACGGATTCACTTTACTGATTGGAAGTTGAACAATTTTCTTAATCTTATTTTTAACACTCGACTATAGACAACTTCTTTCTCGACCCTGTGAATGCCTTCCGTAAATGACGCTGAATTCAATATTGGTATTATTAGCTACTTACATAAGATTTATCATAAGTGACAACATTAGCATTTAGAATATAAAATCGCTTGATGGTACGAAGGACTGCAATCAAATTTTAGCTAACACTTTTAAAACATCATCAAAATATAATTTTTACATTTGGAAGGTACGTTTTCTTCACCATTTCACTGGAAATGAACCGGCTACGTTTGAGCGTTCTAATATCCCAAAGTAATACTGAAGATATTAATATTCATGTACTGTATCGTGAGCAGAAGTGACGTAGCTTACCCGGAAGCAGACCATTGCTCTGGTACAGTGACCTCAATGGGTTCGATCCGTCGATTATTGATGTAATGCCATCTCTTTGGTAAATCTTCTCTTACATAAGGAATGGCCACTTCATGTTTACACTGGCAGTAAAATAAAACGTAAAAGAGGAATTAAAAATTGTAAAATTTACTCCTTAGTTAATCTCTTTTTTTAAAGGAAGATTATTTGCATCAGGAACATATAATCTGTCTAATGAAGATGAATGAAGATGTAAATATGCGAACCAGATTACGATTATGCGAAGTATCTGTATAAATTGTTCCAATAGAAAAGGGAAAGGCACTCAAAACAAGTCTGTATAGACAAAATAATAATTAAGTAACCATATTTTGCACAGAGAAAAATCTGCCATTTTGAAATCATCCTCTTGAATCAGAAAATAGTTTTACAAATTATAAAAATATTACTATTTTCTATCTTGTTTCGCCTAGGGAGAGAAGTAAATCGGGTACAAGAGATTGAGTCTATAGGTCAGAGTTATTGAGTCTTTTTCTCTTTCTCTCCTTTCTTCATACGAGGCACTTTATTACTTTATATCATTTTAACAACACTGCATATAGAGTTTGATCACAATATATATATATATATATATATATATATATATAGAAAATCAACAGACTGATAATTTTGTTGACTCTTAAACACACAGGCCCGAATTCACAAAGGAGGTTTGTCGACAAACCTTGGTTTTCGTGCGTCATATGACGCGTTTCGACGCGTTTTTACAAACCAGGTTTGTAAAAAAAAAAAAACACGTAAAAACGCGTCATATGACGTACGAAATCCTCCTTTGTGAATTCGGGCCACAGAGTTTGCCCAACTTCTTAATTTCTGAAGTTGCATCATACCAGATGCATGTTTTATGGCGAAGCTTGCTTTGTTGGAAAGCATGCTAGTACAATACAGGAATATGCGCCACGTTTTGTCCGATTAAAAACTCTGTTGTACAGACGGCTCTGGTCTGAGAAGCATATGCAATGATAGAGTATACTCGGGACATTCTCATGAATACTACGTTTAAAGGGATCCAGGAACTTTGTCTCAGATTCTGAAACAAAATCCTGGATTTAGCTCATGCTGCAATGATAAGGAACCCCATGACTTTTACAAGCCGATCGCTTGTCTGATAATCAAGATATTTATGATTGGAAATCGAAACCAAATTTTGCGTTTTCCTAACGGTTTTCATAACACTACGGTCCATTGGGATAACGAGTATGGTAAAAACCGGTCACTCAAAGATTTTTTTTTAAAATACTTTTTGAGGTACTTCTTGATCATTTTGAAACGTGATTTTTTAGGGCTCTAATATTACACCATATGGCAGACAATGATAACACGTAGGGCCGTGCATCTCAGATTAAACATTGTTAAACGATGCCTTTAATGTAAGTCATATGAGGGAGCTACATTACATTTCCATTTCCTAGGACCAGTGTAGGTTTCCTTTCAAATTAATATAAATAATTACCAGGAGCTCTTCTACAACCTCGGCAGGATCAGACACCGTCGCTGAAAAGGATAAGAAATACACATGAGTCTTATTGAAAGTAGTATTAGTCATCATTTTCCTACGTGGAATATTTCTGTTTACAATCAGATAATAATTTACATGGATTCCAAATGTAAATTTCTTCTCAAATAATAATACAATGATTTCCATTAGGCCTATCAATAACAAGTGATATGATTCTAAACCAAATGTGGTAAAAAGCAATCGAATCCAATTATACTAGTCGCTTCTTATAATAATTTTTTATGAATGATTAGCTTGTAGGCCTGCATATTCTGTCCTATACATTGAGAAGTATCAACAATATTTGCAATGACGAATGATAGGATTTACAAAAGATTTTGAATATAATTTTAATCCCATGACGAACCTTAGAAATAAAGACCACCCTTAACCTACCATCATCATTAGCAAGTATTCTCAACATGGTTGCAGCTGTAGTAGCAATTCGGTAATCACTTGATGGTAGAAACTGTTCAGTGAGAGAGAGAGAGAGAGAGAGAGAGAGAGAAAGAGAGAGAGAGAGAGAGGGTGAGAAAGGGGAGAGGAAAAAATCGTATCATTTCTCATCATGACGATCACTAACTGATCATCTACCACAAGAGAGAACGGACAAATCGGCTGCCAAAAATGACGGACTTGCCATTTAAAAAAAGATTTTTTCTTTTCTTTCTTTTCTTTAAAAAAAAGAGCAGTACAGTAGATGATTTAACTGTGATTTGCTTTAATGAGATTTTGCTCGAATTATGCAAGTAAGTTTCTATAAGCTTCCAGGGTAGTAATAATCACTATTCATATCCTATCTTATAATTGTATTCAAAAAGACAAACTTATTTGAAAATCGCTACAACAGAAACATATTCATTTTTAAATGTATAGGCTTAATCTTACAAACAGAAGCGTGCATGCATTTAAAATTCACGGACACATAACAAAAATCCACAAGTTGAATTATAGGCCTTCTCTACGATTTTTGATGAAATAAAAATGGAATGAAAATGAAATGAAAATGAACTTAAGAACAAGAGGGTGAATAATCTTACCTTCTCATCAACAAGTGTCGATAATCCGATGAGTATAATGATTCTCTTTTTGTGATTTTCATTTTTTTTCTTCAAATAGTTGTTTGTAGATATTTAAATTTGTTCTATAATTGTTTGTCAATGCTATTGTGTTCATTTTACTTGTTTTTTTAAACAATGTACACGGAATAACAGTCTGTTTTGACTAATTGCGAGTTTTATCGTGAATAAATAAAATACAGTCAAACATGTCTACAGCGACCGCCCAAGGGAAACAAAGAATGTGCTTGTTGTAGACAGGTTCCTTTAGTACATGTTTCAATGAGAAACCATTTTTAAGCAACAAAAAAAAAAATGTGCTTGTTGTAGACAGGTGGTCACTAAAGCAGGTTTGACTATACAATTTAATACAATACACTTACATCGTCTAGAATGAAAGTTTGATCACAAGTCCTATTAGCCATGCCGTGATCAGCGATGGCGATGATGTTAACACAATCGATCATGTCCATCGCCATCAAACCATCCATCAGTCTCCTCATCAGCCCGTCCATACGAGCTATCACTTCGTCTTGCTGAAAGAACAAACGTAATACAGAGTCGACCAGTCAATCTCACAAGCAAACTAGAAGATTTCTTGAAAATAAATAAATTAATTTATTCATTTATTTATTCATTCATTTATTCATTTTTCCATTTATTCATCAATATTATCATTATTATTATCATTATTAATATTATCGTGAGGGTGGTCTTTTGTAAATTACATGTGAAGGCCCTCTATGTCTTATGTAGCTACGTCACTGTTATATGATATATATTTTCTGAACATGAGTATTCTTCATTCTTTGATGGGTTACCAATATTGACACGTTCTTGATACACATTAAATTCACTTGTGTATTGTTATTTATCGTACGGTAGAGGCCTTTAATCAAACACGGCGAATATTTTTAATATTAATCCTTTTAGAGCAAAACAACAAAAGTCGATACAATCATAAAGAAATTCCCGTCACTGTACCTCGTCGGTGTTTGGTCCAGGGTCATGGCCAGTGTGATCCGGTTCATCAAAATACAGAGTCACAACATCTGGTCTAAATTGCAGTGTGGGAATCGAAATTATCCGGATATAGGTACAAATGAAAACTCACTCGACATAAATGACAATGGACAACATAGGACTCGGGTATTTTGAATTGTCTTACATCGAAATACATGATCTACTTGAGCTATAAAACTGTACGCAATAGTGACATAAATAAATAATTAAAGGCCAAAGTGTGATCTGACGAGTGCAAATTGAATAGCTCTAGTATATCTGTATTCGTTGCTTTTTTCAGAAAATATAATTATATTCATGATATTCCACAAAGCACTGGCCAAGACAATCATTCCGAGAATAATCTTTTATTCTTATAAACTGTCTGGCCTATAGTGTACGACCACGAATAGACCGGTCTACTAACATTATTTACATTTTGTGCATACTTTAAAGGTACTATGTCCCATTTGCAGGCCAAAAAAATGAAAAAGTTAAATTCCAACTGCATTTGAAAGAAAATACTAATTTAGAACTTCCCTAAAACAGGTGGGGCTTGAAAATGTCTACAAGTGGGAAAATAACGACTATTATTTGTCAAATCGACTTTAGGGCTATAGAGCCCAAAAGTAATAGTCTTGATTTTCAGACAATCGTACCGAATGGTCATACGTTTTATGCTGCGCAAAGATTCAATCAGTTTAATCTTGGCCATCACAAGAAGTGGGTTATTGATGTAGACAAATACTTATGTACCCTTTACCATTTTTTCATGTATGTTATTACCAAAGAAGAAAACAGCCAGTCAGTCACTCAATAGTGTCTGACAGTGAAGTCTAGCAAGTAAACGGGTTTCCTTGCATAATTTGAATATGAGGACACTGCTAACGTTTAAATTTCACAGATAGGACATACACGACATATTCATAATTCCTGCAAAGTTCTACAGCATTTGAGGTTGGCTGCAAAAGGGACATAGTACCTTTAAAGAGATCGTTTAACAATGTTAAATCTGAGATGCATGGCCCTACGTGTTATCAGTGTCTGTGAGATGGTGTTATATTGAGAAGTGCCTCAAGAAGTGCCTCAAAAAAGTAAAAAACCTTTGAGTGACCGGTTTTACCATACTCGTTTTCCCCAATAGACTGTAGTGTTATGAAAACCGTTTGGCAAACGCAAAATTTGACTTCCATTTTCAATCATAAATATCTTGATAATCAGACAGGCGTTCGGCTTGTAAAAGTCATGGGGTTCCTGACTGACCTAAAGGTTTATAATTATCATTGCAGCATGAGCTAAATCGAGGATTTTTTAAAGGATCTAAGACAAAGTTACCAGATCCCTTTAAAAAGAAAGGTTATTTATGACAACCTAATGCTTGCCCCAGGCTTACCCGACATAGAAACAGGTGATGTATGCAGACTGGATGTCAAGTATTGTAGTTCCTTCATTAATACAAACTTAATGGAATAACTCGTCCCAAGAAAAGAAACATCCATCAACTTGAATATGTTAGCAAACCGGTCTAAAAGAAGATAATAAGGTCTGCCAAACCAAAACTATTTTAGATTGATGATGATAGTTAAGAGTACTTGACCAGATAAAGCAATAATAATATACCTATATCCGTCGGGTAGCCGAAGCCATCCTAGCACAGTATCTAACCGCTGAATATAATTCAGATCCCTGAAAGAATAAAAAGAGGAAAATATTCAATCATGAAGGGAAAGACACAGAATAGTGCAACATAGATATTCTCAAAGGGACCCTTTTACATAAAATTATTTGTTCATCAATGTAGTTTATTTCAACATTTACACGTTACAAGTAATAGCCAACTCTGAGGGTCGACATGAACAGTGACAGACTCACACACATGAAGATTTGTTTTTGTGAAGGGGGTGTTTTACCCGCCTAAATGATTTCCTCCTTCCATTTTCATCCTTTCCTTCAGTAGGCCTAACGTCTATAACTTCGATCATAAATCATCAACAAATCATCAACAGGCTTAACATGTGACAACAAGGCGTGTATAGCACTTTTACATAAACTTAAACCTTTCAAACATAAGCAGTTCATTTGACTTACCCATCGTATTTGTTATAATAGTTTGGTCGGATTCCTGTAGGGAGAAGGATAAATTATGAGTCTTAGAAACTTTCATTCATCTACAGGAACAAATACATTGATTGATAATAGCTCTAATAAGCCAACCTGAAAGCTCCGTGTTTTGGAAGTAATAGACCGAAGTAGCCTTCGAAACGAGCAACATTGTTTTAGAGCTTAGAAATAAAGTTGAGTTCTGGTTATGTGATTGCATTGTGAAAGAAACGTTGTGGAATCGATCAGGTAAAGTTGACCATGTAGCATACAAGTATTGATGTGTATTGCAAGGTTCTGGGGCCATCAAAATGAAAAGAAATTTAGCCATGCAGGCTTGGTAAAGTAACAAGCACTGTACACATAAATATGTATATGGGACTACACAAACATGTGGCACAAGATTCGGGCCTCATTTTAAGCTCTTACTTGTCATATTTACAATATAAATGCATTTAAATATCCATGCTTTTCAGGGATTTTTTTTCTCTGATGTTCTTTCACACTTGCATACAATGATAACGCTCACATACTCTTCTTCACCTCTAACCAGAACTCAACCTTCTCTTAAAATGTTTGGTGATGTCACGTTGAAATTAATTTAGGTTTATTTAATATGCAAGGTTTGGGGGGTGGCATAGTGATCACTTTTTTTTACTCAACATCTCCCCACCCTTTATAAAAACAAATTGGCCAGGGGGGGGGGCAAGGCCCGCTCGGCCACCCACTCCCCCCCCCCCCCCCCCTCCCCTGGAAACGGGCCTGGGGCAGGGAGTATCCCCTTTTTTTTCGTTTTTCTAATTATTATGTACAGTATAAACTTCCATTGGAGTTCGCGCATCTTCTCATGCTTTCGTATCTTGAAAGTTGAAGCAGTAACAAAAAAAACACATTTGAAGGGCTGTTACCTTGAATATCAGAATCAGACCCAGGCCAGAAGAAGGTAGCAGATCGCTTGCCCTGCCATCGAGCTGTGTTCCAAATCTATCCATAAAAATGAGGGAAAAAACGAGTGGTTATCAAAAAAGGGTAACAGTAACATTCGATGCCGCGAAGTTAATTTGAATCGAGTGTTGATTTGAAGGAAAAAACAGTTCAGTGAGATACTGATGATCCACAACAAATGTACAGCCATTGGGATAGGACTGATTGAATTCATCATCTTAGCGATTTTTAAGTCCTTCATAGGTCTTAACCCATTTTTGTTAAAACTCAGGTCAGCTTAACTCAGCCGAACTCATCTCAACTCAACTAAAGTCAAGTCAAGTCAACTCAACTCAACTCTATTCAGTTTAAACCATTTCAACTCGGTTCATCTCAGCTCATCTCAACTCAACTCAACTCACCTCAACTCAGCTCAATCCAACTCAACTCAAGTGAAGTCAGCTCATCTCAGCTAAATACAACTTAACATAACTCAACTCATCTTAGCTCAACTCAGTTAAAGTCAATTCAACTCAACACATCTCAGCTCAACTCAACTTAACTCGACCGTATTTCCATCACGAATTTTGAAGTAACATACAGAAAATGAAGCTATCAGTTTACAAACGATCTTGTTGATCAACCGAACTCCTAATCATGGTGAATTACAAATCTTACCGGTTCTCCTCCCCACCATCTGTTGTTGAGTGACTCCGTTGAGCCCAGACTAAACTCGGCACCATTAAAGTCATACATAGTATTTCCCACAATGCCGTGAGATTCAGGATACAGCCCCTGAAATTAATACATACAATATAAATGCTTAAACTTGTTTAGATGTTTGTAATTTTCATATTTTTATTCGATTTAAGATAAATATGTAGTAAAATGAAAACGATTGTTCATTATTTTGTTTCAATATAGGACTGAGCCGATAGCAAAAACTACAAGGGAGTAGAAAATTTATGGGGTGGCTACGGATGAAACGCGAGTAGACCTGGGTGTTTCACAAAGAATAAGATAAATTTCAAGTTCGACTTAACTATTGCGGGCCATTCATGCCACTAGTTTCTCCCACCATTGGTCTCTCAATTATGATCTTTAGATACTATTTTTTCCCTTCAATAATGAACTATCAAAAAGTTAAATTCTGTAGATTTGTGACCATGAGTTGTACGTCCCTTGAGAGACCAATGCCAGTACATGGTGAGAGCAAACAATTGCATGAACGGCCTGCCATAGTTAACTCCAACTTAAAGTCGATCTTAGTCTTTGTAAAACGCCCCTCCTCCCAGAAGTGAGAGAGTGGGAGAGGTTTTTACATGTATCTCCCTTTTTTATTTTGCCAACCCGTCCTTCTTCTTTTCTATCTGTTCTTCCGTCTTGTTGTTTAAAAACGAAATTCAATTAGAGCACGTGTGCACGCATGTCCTTTTTTCTTCTTCTCATTTTTCTCACCGTAACGATTGTATAATGGTTGGGAAACGTCACAGTAGGGAACGTCGGGATCATGTGTGGGGTCATTACACCGCATTCAGCTGTATGGGGATGAAATCAAATAAACAGTGGCAGCTAGTCAAGAAAATACTTTTAAAAATGACATTATTAATCATGATTGATCGTATGGACAACATCAATAATTTTCAAAATGATTATTATCATTAGTGTTGTTATTATAATTATTATCATTATCATTTTTTATATTCATGATCGTTATGATTATCATAATAATTATCATCATTATTATAATTCTATTTATTATTGTTATCATATTTATTATTACTATTATTGTTTTTAATGATTTTTCACCATTATCAGTAACAGCAGAAACAGTAGTAGAATCATTTTGTTCATCATCATCATGATCATCATCATTTTTCATTTCTATTGCTACTATTATTGTTCATGTTACTGTTTTTGTTATTAGCGCAGGTAATAGCGCAATCAGAATGACGCAAAGTGTGCAAAGGACATTACCCATTCGACTCAATACAGGTGTCAATCCTCGCGTCAAGAAGTCGCTTCGGAATCCATCGAGAGATATCAAAAGAACTGGAGGAGACGAGATCCTGAAAGAAGGAATAATTATCATGAATATTATCCATTTGTATTAGGTCTAGAGCATAATAGTTTTGTTTAAATACGGATTGTGATATCGATAAGCGAAGCGCATTCGTCTCCAGTATATTTTTGGAACTGATATCTTCTAAAAAGAATCTACTATAAACATCTTTATGTAAAGACGTGTAATGAAAGCGTTCAGATAATATTCCAGTCATGAATAGATCATCCAAAGTGACTTTTTACATTTCATTTGCTCTATACTGTACTAAATTTGAGAAAAAATTCAACTCTACAACAATTAGCATAACTTTGCTACAATTACAAGTTACAATCAAAGAAATTAATGTCGAGGACTGGTGCTGGTGCTATGAATTCATACTTCTATAGCGCACGAGAGAAATACTAGCAATAAGGACAAAAACGAGGTAATATGTTACGGTCACAAAGGTTCGTATGAACGATAATTTCGTACGAATCTCTCTGTTTTTCCATTGTTTTCCCGAATTTCCATTGTCTGAACATTGTCGTACGGCGTTCGTAGCAGTTCGTAATGGCATTTGTGACCGAGGCGATATTTGGCACAACTTTGACAATAAAATTATCTGCATGTATGAGTGAAGGCAATGAAACTCTACTTACCCTGCAGGGCATCTCGGGCCGGTGTCTCTACACGGCATGTCAACCCAGTCCTCGTAGGGAGAGGTGGGAGGAGGAGGAGGAGGAGGGGTGCTTGGCCCGGGGGAAGGGGGCGTTCCCGTCTGATGGGGCGGGGCTGACGTGTGCGTATCAGTATGATGGGGAGGGGCTGATGAAGGCATGTTGGTGTGATGGGCGGGTTTTGTAGGTTCTCCTGTGTGGGTTTTGCCTTTTGTTGTAAGTGGTTCGTTGTGTGGTTCGGTCGCTCGTGGTTCAGTAATAGGATTCTTAGTACTTGTAAGACCTGTATAAATATTAAATGGTAGGGAAGGGTTATAAATTATGTGGATGTGTCGCTGTATACAGGGGCCTACGCAGGGGGGGGGGGTTTGGGGGTTCAAACCCCCCCTTTGGTATTTTTATGTGTGTAAACCCCCCTAAAAAAAACCAAAACCCCCCCCCCCCCCCCCCCTTTGGGTTTTTTTGTTTTTTTGTGTTTTTTTTAATTATTAAAAAAAAAAAAAAAAAAAAAAAAAAAAATTATACCCGCGGTTAACCTAAAAAAGGTGACCTTACCCCCCCCCCCCCCCCCCCAACGAAGAAAAATGTCAAATTTTGAAATTTCGAGACCAAAAAAAAAAAAAAAAGTGTCCGCTTGCCCCCCTATGGTTTCACGATTCTCTAAAGGATCAGTCTCTAAAGGATCAGGGGGAGGGGCGCATGGGAATGAGGGTCAGTATAAGTTTGATTTAAAACTTTGATGGATTAAGTCGATTCAATGAAATTAGGAGCTTTCGAAGCTCTTTGTCCAAGCTCATTCATCAGGGGGGGGATGATCTATTCATTCACCCCCCCCCCCCCTGATGAATAGGTATTACGTAAGGATCGACACCCATGGTTGCGACTAATGGGAGTTGATAGTTGAGCAAATTATCAAAAAGACCAATTGTACCTCTGTAATAAACAGTTGAAGTTGATATCAATCTCAGGTTTAGCTACTTAAAAGAATGTCCATTCTCAGGAAGAGAGGGGAGGGTGGAAGGGAGGAGGAGGGAGGGAGGGGAGAGAAAGAGAGAAGGTGGAGGGAGTGTGAGAGAGAAAGAGAGAGAGAGAGAGAGTGTATGTGTGTACTGTGGGGAGGCTGGAAAACTAATATAAGAAACAGGGGCGTTGGTTGGGGAGAGGGGGGCTGCCAAAATGAGAAGTGGAGAGGCAGAGGAATGGAGAGGGACGCTAGGGGGAAGGTAGCTTCCTATTTTCAGTTTTTATCATAATATAACCGAAGATAACCGAATCTATCTAACTCACCTACGATTGGGTTCGCTGACCCACCGTCATTGCTTCCTTTAGAGTTCCCGATCGCATAGCCGATACCGATGCCCCCTCCCAACGATATCGCCAAGATGACAATCTATTTTTCGAAGTGATGAAAGTACACATATATCATTTCATGTCACATGTTTTCCTTGTCGTCTATAATGATCTTCAGACACGTTTGCTTGTATAGATAAGAAAGGGTAGGCATGAATGTGGACTTTAACAAGGTCAATATTTAGAAATACTGTCTCGTGCATCGCACTTGTATGTTTTGAACAGTGTCTACTTCACATTTATCAGTAAGGGGTACAGCGATCATTGTATTGTTTGGATTGAAGAGAAAAATGTCCGCTTATTGTTTGGATAGACAACAAATATCCACTTATGATATGAGGACAGCATTATTATTAAACAAGCTCAATATTTAGAAATATTGTCTCATCTCATGCATCGCACTTGTATGTTGTGAACAGTGTCTACTTCGCATTTATCAGTAAGGGGTACAGCGATCATTGTAATGTTTGGATTGAATATTATTTTTTGAGTACATCATTATTTGATCTATATGTGGGGTTTTTTATCTCCAGCAAAGCAATGGTAACTATATAGCTAGCTATACTATTATCACAGTTTAAAAATAAAGATGTACTTACAAAAATAAACGTTAGTAAAGGCTACTTGTTTAGGTACTAGACTTTAAATGGTTAATTTACAGGGTGATAAGATAATCTGATTTCCGGATATTAGAGTAAAGCTTTTTCATTTTCATTTTAAGATGATGGAGGAGTTCTTTATTAAATATAGATATTCCTTTTATCTAATGATTGAGATATCAGATTATTTTTATTGTAAAAGTATGTTATTAATCAGACTTATACAGAAGTATGGACAAATTTGAATCTTGACCTTAAATTTAGTTTAGTATTAAGGGAAGAAACAATATGCGATCAGTTATGATGTACATATCTTTCCATTATAAAATATAGATAATGATATAGATACATATCTGTAAATCTAGATATAGATATACATACAGATACAGATATAGATAAAGATATAGATCTTAACCATACGCTATAAGTTATGATATCTTACCAATGCTAGTAATACTGTTTCTGTTCTGACTTTTGATTTTTCCTGCAAAAAATATTAATAAACATACGTTTGGTTAAAATTTCATTTCATTCTGTGAGAATTGTTTTTAATAATGATTAAATAATAACAATAGTGTCAACTTATAGAGCGCGCACACCGTCAAGTGACGCTCATGGCGCTAGCAGAGCAACAATTTTCTTTAATATAAGTAAAGTAAATGTTTATTTGATAATAGAGTTATGCCATCAGAAACTCATAAGCAATTTTGCAACATTTGTATCAACCATTTCAATCCTCAGCTCTGCCCGGTGGGGGCCGGTGCCCTCCAGCTGCTCCGTTCACTGACCATTCAAGGAACTAGCCCAGTCGGCACATGATTCACAGGAGCTCTGGCATCTGAGACCACCAGGCCCCATACGGGCAGCCAATGAGACTAAAGGGTGATAACTAATTAAGTTCAGATGTATATACAAATACAATATTTACTATGGATATAGCAATATAAACTTATACAACTTATGGAAATACTGGGTTACAGATGGAATAGGTAAGTGACTCGGTAACATTGTTGAAGGTTGATGAAAAACTGCCTAATTTTGTGTATAAAGGGTTACTTATTATATTCCTTCTACTGCACTAACCCTCTAACATGCAAAATATCCTGAACAATTCTCAAACCACAAAGATATTTATGGTTTTCTTTGAAGACGTCACTGTGTGACACCTAAATTTTCCCAACCATTTTTGAATTCTCCCAACCGATTTTCCATGAAAATGAGACATAAGAAAACCTTTTAAAAATCTTACAACACTTTAATGTCTGGAATGGTATATAGAGCCAATTCATTGCTTTGTGACAATTTACATTCACCTTAAATGTAATTATATTGTAATAATATAGTAGGGAGAATTAGGGAATTGATCAGATCAGTTTTTCCCATTTTTTATCTTTAATAATGGTCCATTTTCACTCAAACTTTCAGATTATCTTCAATTGTACAAGTAGCATTGAGGTCATTACCTCAGCACCCTTTTCTTTTATATGAACAATGTTACCAAGTCCCTTTAAGACGATCTTTAACCATACATGTGAAGGGAACACAGTGACGGACCAAACGGATTAAAGATAAACTTTAGTACTGGTAATGCGATTGCATTGTGAAAGAAAAGGTGTGGAAAGGATCAGAAACAGTTTGATCATGTAGCATGTAAGTATTGGTGTGCACTGCAAGGTTCTGGAGTCATCAAAATCATAATAAATTTGACCGAGTCTTGGTAAAGTAACAAGCACTCACATAGAAAGCTATATATGGGACAACACACATGGTGTCGGGGCTAGTACTACCTTGATTTCCTTGTCTTTCTATGCTCATTACTCAGCCAGTATACATTTTCTTCCAAAATTGTTTGGCACATGTCATTTATTTGTAATCTTGCACATTCAGTGTAAGTTTCGTTTGATTCTGTGAGAATTTTTTTTTTTTTTTTTACCAGTACTGGAGTTTATCTTTAAGCTCGTGTGGTGTGTAAATATGTCCGAACCAAAAGGCAGCACCACCCTTGTTTACAATGATATCACGATAGTAGGATTTTTTTGTTATATCATTTGATTTTTCTTTAAAGAAAACTTGGCCTTTGTACTTGCAAATACAAGGAACAAAAGACGTAACCTCCAAGGACTTTTTATATTTCATACATCTATTTAAACATTGAAATTGAGAAGGTTTACTAATCGCACCTCAAATTTCTTGTACTCTATTTGCCTTTCGAATTCTAAATGAAATCTGTGTGAGCCAGACTATATTTTGTTAAAGGTACGTGGTGCCATGCAGGTTAAAATAGTCATATGGTGTGGGCGTCTGTTTGGTGATGAAGTAAGGTGTGAAAGAAGGAGGATAGAATAATACTTGCATATGAACAAATAAGGCAAAGAAAGAGGAATGGAGGATTGATGGAGGGAGAGCAGGGGCGCTGAAAAGACTTTTCTCATGGATTGATCGACTCTCTGGTGGAATTATTTTACAATAAAAAATAAAATTGTACGTCAAACGATCAAAAATAATATGTCTACCTCGATAGGGTAGAGAATGATGATAAGAGGAATGGGGGGGGGTGAAGCTTGATGGTGGGGGTGATAGTGGATTAGGATTGAGTGGGGTGGGAGTGGATTTAGGGTGGGGTGAGATAAGAGTGGTTGAGGGTAGGGTAGGGTGAGAGTGGACGAGGTAGGGTGAGAGTGAATGAGGGTGGGGATGAGGTGAGATTGGATGAGGGTGGGGTTAGAGTGGATTAGGGTGGGTGAAATTAGACTGGTTGAGGGTGGGTTGGGGTGGGAGCGGATTAGGGTGGGTGAGGTTATAGTGGAGAGGGTAGGTTGGGTGAGAGAGAATAAGGGTGGGGCGGGGTGAGAGTGGATGAGGGTGGTGAGAGTGAATGGGGGTGGGTTGGGTGGGAGTGGATGAGGGTGGGGTACGAGTGGATGTGGGTGCGGTGGGGTGGGAGTGAATGAGGGTGGGGGCGGGGTGAGAGTGGATGAGGGTGGGTGAGAGTGAATGGGGTGGGGACGAGGTGAGAGTGGATGAAGGTGCGGTGGGGAGAGAGTGAATGAGGGTGGGGTAGGGAGAGAGTGGATGAGGGTGGGGTAGGGTGAGAGTGAATGGGGGTGGGTTGGGTGAGAGTGGATGAGGGTGGGGTGAGAGTGGATGTGGGTGCGGTGGGGTGAGAGTGAATGAGGGTGGGTGGAGTGAGGTGGGTGAGAGTGAATGGGGATGGGTTGGGTGGGAGTGGATGAGGGTGGGGTACGAGTGGATGTGGGTGCGGTGGGGTGGGAGTGAATGAGGGTGGGGGCGGGTGAGAGTGGATGAGGGTGGGTGAGAGTGAATGGGGTGGGGACGAGGTGAGAGTGGATGAAGGTGCGGTGGGGTGAGAGTGAATGAGGGTGGGTGGAGTGAGGTGGGTGAGAGTGAATGGGGATGGGTTGGGTGGGAGTGGATGAGGGTGGGGTGCGAGTGGATGTGGGTGCGGTGGGGTGGGAGTGAATGAGGGTGGGGGCGGGTGAGAGTGGATGAGGGTGGGTGAGAGTGAATGGGGTGGGGACGAGGTGAGAGTGGATGAAGGTGCGGTGGGGAGAGAGTGAATGAGGGTGGGGTAGGGAGAGAGTGGATGAGGGTGGGGTAGGGTGAGAGAGAATGGGGGTGGGTTGGGTGAGAGTGGATGAGAGTGGGGTGAGAGTGGATGTGGGTGCGGTGGGGTGAGAGTGAATGAGGGTGGGTGGAGTGAGGTGGGTGAGAGTGAACGGGAGTGAAGTAAAATTGAATGATGAACGGATGGTTGAGAGTGGGGGAGGGTTGGATGGGGTGAGAGTAGATGAGGGAGGGGTAGGATGAGACTGGGTCGCGTTGGGCGGTGTAACAGTCGGGGAGGGTATGGTGTGTGAGCAAGGGAGGCTCCCATGCTCACGAGTTTACCTTATGTAATGGATAGTCTCGCTCCGTTGAATCGTATGCCGCATTCGAGAATGAATGGCTGAATTCCTGTCGAAAAAAGCAATCGAAATGATTAAACAAAACAATTTTCTTGAAATAAAATCCACACATTTTGATTATCATCAATATACAACCAAGTGCAAAAGTAGGATCAAAGATTTAGGTGAATGTTAAATCATCTTCAAAAATAGAATAACAGGGAGGCACAAGAGGTAATATTAAGCAAATGGAAAGATGCGGAGGTCTCCTCCTAGTTTATATTTCATTGTCGTGTTACATCTGATTTGTTATAATCTTACATTTTTTATATCAGGAAAAAAATAATTCTTGATAAATATTTTCTTGAAGCCCGTCTGCACAAGTTTTGCCAGGGGGATTAGACCTCCCCGCAAGGTCACTGACAGGTTGTTATCTCATCAAATCAGCTCTCAATTAACATATTAAAGAAAAAGGGAATCATGGGGACCAACGGGTACCGATAATGCATTGTTTGCTATAAAGAGGGCGCACGCAAGTAGCTATAAGTAGTGCAGTGTGGCTTCAAAACCCCTTCCTATTATTAGTGCAGCGGCTTAGCAAGAAAATTGTGCACTTTTTGAGAAAAGCATGAAACTTCCAGCATAGTTTGCTTTCACCATAAGATTTATTTTCAGACGTGGAGGGAAGTCAGATTTGACCTCTGATGACCCTGAGAGGTCAAATCCAAAATGGCCGCTTGTCCGCATGGTCTAATGTACAAACACGCTTAACTTTTGAACCAAATACACCAGAAAAACGTTTAAGGTGTCATTTCCAACTAACTTGGGGATGCCAATTCATTTGGTAATACTTTTGAGATCACCTGAACTCAGGGTTTTGAATTTAGGTCAAGGTCAATGTCAAAATTGACTAAAAATAGCAAGTTTTGAATAGTTACAAAAGGTTAAATCTCATTTATTTGTCATTTGTTCTCAAATTTATTTTGGAATGGTTCACCTGCCGAGTCCTCCACCTTAATCCTTTTCAGTTAGTTTATTTCACAGTTTGATGTGACCTCTGATGACCCTGAGAGGTCAAATCCAAAATGGCAGCCAGTCCACATGGTCTAATGTATAAACGTGAACTTGAACCAAATAATCTATTTCCAACTAACTTGGGGACGCCAATTCATTACGTAATACTAAGAGATCGCCAGAACAAACAGCCCCCGTGAGAAGGCTCACGGGGGCTCTTTTATTACTGACGGGGGCTCTTTTTTTATACAAATATCCATTGAATTGGTACCTATGATACTCCTCAATTATTTGCTATTTTTTCATTATCATTTCAATCAGCATTTTCCCTCTTACAAATTTACAAGCTACATAGCTGTTACTGGCCTGTGTATATAATATATACGCATACAATACTGATCTTTATGATGTCTTTAACGTGACATATCTTCTTCTCCCCTTGCAAACGAAAAAGAAAACAAGGTCATTAAAAGGGATTAAGCGACAAATAATGATTGTGATTCAAATTGATGCGAATATTTGTTTGAATAAGCACTGCTATTCACCCAAATCTTCTTTGTAAAAGCAACTTTTACAAATCTCAGCCATGCTCACTGAGTTGAGACGTTCCATTCAATTTGAAATACCCATTACATAATACACTTCTCCTAATCTCAAAGTGATCTTACAGCACAGTGGCAGAATTGCATGGCTGAGATTTGTAAAAGTCGTTTTTACAAAGAAGATTCTGGTGAAAAGCATTGCTTATTCAAAAAAAATCCCTGCATCAATTTGAATCACAATGATTATTTGTCGCATGGTCCTTTTATTAAATAACCTTGTTTTCTGTTTTGTTTGCAGAGGGAGAAGAAGCTATGTCACGTTAAGAAATCATAAAGACCAGTTGTATTATGCGTATATACATTATGATACCAGAACAAATGTTGATTATCAGAATGTCATTTTGGAATACCTCTATACAAATACCACATTGTCTTTAGCCCGTATCAGTATTAGTATGATCCAATATAAAGCTATTATTCTTTATTTAATTCAGTATAATGCTTTTCCTCAAAAATAGTTTTGCTATTTTTTTAGGGTTGAGACGCTAAGAAATGGTTTCAAATGTACATTACACGAACCCTGAACCATTGCAAAATGATGGTGGTTCTCTCTCTCTCTCTCTTTATTTTAATCATCCATTATCAACTACATATAAAGCAGCAACCAAAAACTTAGGATTATCTGAGATAGGTGAAAGTAAGAGTTAAAAAGAAAGTCATGCTAAAACGGCGCTTCACTTCCCCCCGCCCCCTGAAAAAATTAAATAGATTAGTAGTCCTCCTCTCCAGCATCCCCCTCCCCCCCCCCCCCCGCTTTAATATCACATTTTCACTTGGCAGCACAAGGGGGCCGGGGGTGGGAGGAGGGGGTTAAACCCCCTAACCCCCCCCCCCCCCCCCCCCGTAGATCTGCCCATGTTACCATATCATTCCACGACATTTTGGTCTTCCTCTTCTCCTCAAAAGGGACTTTTAGATTTGCGTGGACGTGGACGTGGACGTGTTACGTCCTTTTAAGGCACTGGCAGTCACATTATGTGACGTCCTTTTAAGCACTGACCGTGCCTTAAAAGGAGGTCACACGTTGCAGTCCACGTTCTCATCGTGCAAATCTAAAAGTCCCTATTGATTTACTGGTCGAGGTTCATTATTTGCTGACAACGAAAAACTTCTCCAGGCCATGACCATGTTTCTGCCCTTGCGCGATCGCCTCCAGCTCCAGCAGACATGGCGCGGCAGCGTGCACACGCACCGCTACTAAAGGCGCAGTAGGCCTATAACCACTGCTGACGGCGGCACTGCACTGCGAGCTGAATCGGTAATAATAGGCCTACTCATAAAACGAGAAATCTTGCACGCTAATGTTAGTTCCATTTCATTGGTTTAAGGTTTGAAAATTGAAACTCAATATTGTGTTAAAGTTATAACAGAAAAGATAATCTTTATTTTATAATTCCACCGGGGCGATTTTTAATTTTGCAATCGCCCCCGTGAGCAACCTGACGGGGGCGATTATGTAGCTCACGGGGGCAAATCGCCCACCGCCCCCGTGTATTTTGAGCGCTGCTAGCTGCCCACTGACCATGCTATATGCAAATGGTCAGTTACAAGACAAATAATGGTTTGGTGCTATAATTAGTGAAATAAACTAACTGATTACGATGGAGACTATGCAGGGAAACCACTCCTAAAGAAATTTGAGAACATAAGGGGACAAAAAAATGGGAAAACTTTTTGTAAACATTCAAAACTTTTACCTTGACTTAATGCAAAAGCCCTGAGTTCTGGTGTACTAAAAAGTATTACCAATTGAATTGGCATCCCAAAGTTAGTGGGAAATGACACCTTAAACGTTTTGCTGGACTATTTGGTTCAAGAGTTAAGCGTGTTTGTACAATTATTAGACCATGCTGCGGACTGGCGCCATTTCTTATTTGACCTCTTAGGGTCATCAGAGGTCAAATCGAAATGTGAAATAAACTAACTGAAAGGGATTAAGGTGGGTGACTATGCAGGGGAACCACTCCTAAAAAAAATTGAGAACATAAGGGGACAAAAAAATGGGAAAACATTTTGTAACTATTCAAAACTTGCTATGTTTTAATCAATTTTGACCTTGACCTTGACCTAAATGCAAAGCCCCGAGTTCTGGCGATCTCAAAATTATTACCAAAATGAATTGGCATCCCCAGGTTAGTTGAAAATGACACCTTAAACGCTTTTCTGGACTATTTGGTTCATGAGTTAAGCGTGTTTGTACAATTATTAGACCATGCGGCGGACTGGCGGCCATTTTTTTATTTGACCTCTCAGGGTCATCAGAGGTCAAATCAAAATGTGAAATAAACTCACTGAAAGGGATTACGGTGCGTAAATTCCTAAAGAAATTTGAGAACATAGGAGAGAACAAATGACAAATTAATGGGAAAACTTTTTGTAACCATTCAAAACTTGCTATTTTTTAGTCAATTTTGACCATGACCTTGACCTAAATGCAAAACCCTAAGTTCAAGCGATCTCAAAAGTGTTACCAAATGAATTGGCATCCCCAAGTTAGTTGGAAATGACACCTTAAATGTTTTTCTGGACTATTTGGTTCAAAAGTTAAGTGTGTTTGTACATTAGACCATGAGGAATAGCGGCCATTTTGGATTTGACCTCTCAGGGTCATCAGAGGTCAAATCTGACTTCCCTCCACATCTGAAAATAAATCTTATGGTCTAAACTAACTATGCTAGAAGTTTCATGCTTTTCTCAAAAAGTGCACAATTTTCATTATATTGGGAGCTTATCCGCTGTACTATATTACTATTTGAATGATTTATGTATTTCCCATTGATCACATAATCCATCGATGAGGTTTCAGGTCATAGCAAAGACCTGGATATTAATTCATTACGACAGCTAAAGCTCGATGGATGCATAACGCGTTCCACAAAAAAATGTTCGTGTTTAGAAGGCCTATAAAAAAGAGAGCAAAGGTCTGTCGTTAAAAAGGTTAAACAAATGTTGAAACAATCAGATACGTTATTTATGATACAGAAGCACAATATTTTCAATACCAGCATCATTTGAGGGGCGGGTCAAATCCGTCGCTGGCAACCTTACCGAAGTGCATTCATCATTGCCAGATCCAACTGTCACATATTTTACAAAACTCATGATAAAGTTTCCAGTTTCAACTCAATTCAATTCAATCGTGGTTTTATTTGACAAAGTTTTGCAGCCAAAGGCTGAATTGCGCATCTTCACATCACATCTCAATATTATTTCACAATACATTGTACAATTAGAGTCATAACAATCTGACTGATTAATTTTAATAAAATTATACTCCTAAAGCCTATGCCATAATTATGATTGGGATATTAACGAAGTCTATTTTAAAGAAGAAAGCACAAAATATTTCTAAAAATCCATATTTTAAACAATTAGTGTATAGAATAATGCGCAATGTTGAGCTTACGCAGCGCTGGTCACTTCAATACGGTTGATTCATACCACTCGTTTGCGT